CATAGCATGTTACTTGGTGCGTCGATGGCACAGCGGTTAGGACGCTCGCCAATCATGCACATAGTCCGGGGTTCGATCCCCGGCCGACACATTCCTTTACCTCACTAATAAAAGTGGTGAAGACGAAAGGTTGGGCATGAGGCTAGCAACCCCATCCTATAAAAGTAATCTCCACTGCTATAGAAACTTCAAACCTCTAGCTTGAAGCCCTATGTTCCACTGGGAACGTGGAGGAATAAAAAAAATGTCACTTGGTGGGTGGCAACTATCACTGGAATTCGAGATGCTCATTTTACCCTAACTTGGAACTCGTCATCCCTACGTACCTGCAATCTCCTGTGAGAGTGGTGGTGTTCCCACTAATACTCGAGCTGAGCACACATCCTTTCAAACACCAGGGCATTATCCACGCAGCCATCCTGGATTCCACTGCTAGTCACCGTCCACCAAATAACATCATGTTAATCCTCAGATATCATCGGAACGTCCGTGCCAGGAGCCGACTTGTCTACAGAGAGAGACCAGGCATTTCGGACCAATAAAATCAGTCAACGGGATGTGCGAAGTTGACTTAAACAAAAAATAATATGACATTGTGTTTAATAAGTTTTCTTTTTGCCATTTCAGAACTTTATCGAGTCTATGGTGTTCCTGTTATCAGTATCGAATGGATGCTGAATTGTATTTCCCTATATCGTCGTCTACCAATTAATCAAGTTTATCGTATATGTCCAACTCCTCAGCCTGTATCTGTTTCTATTCCTAAATCATAATTTCTATATTGTTTATTTCAGTGAACACGCCTTCTTATTCACTGTTTCCTTAACTGTATAACTTCATATATATATATTCTTTTCTCTACTTTTCAATTTATCGGAAGCATTTTTCGGAGATATATTTTTCCAACGTAATATTAATCTATTGCACATTTTATTATTATTTCATTCATTTGATAATTTTATTATATAAATCATTTTAACCTCGTCTTGAAACCAATAATTATTCAATAAATTGTTGCTATAATTACTGATGAAAAGTTTGTCAATGCCTTCACACACATATATATATATACATTTGCTTTTTGATTAATTATTTTCAAAGAAAACACTGCAATTGGATTTTAATTATTATTATTTTTTCCCAGCGAAATGTACTATTTTTCTTGAAAACACATAAATATTTTCTTATTTTTAATTATTTATATCTCTATACGCATTCGATGTTGGTGGTAATTCTTTTTTTCTTTTCTTCCGTTTTTAATATATTTGCTAATATTTCCGTGTAATCACAGTAGCCTGCCTGCGTTGAACAATATTGCATAAAATTTGGAAGTTATTCGTACATACGAACTAGTAGCATTTCGCTATATTGTTCTTATGTGGTGGTGATGGAAGTGCATGAAAGCTATAAATACATGATTATCAACGCTTACAAGGCTTATTAAAATCTGAGTGTGTACTAGAACTGTGTTTTGAAGAAGTAATGAATTTGCATTCCATACAATCTTCACAGTTCCCTGTAAAATACAAGTTCAACTGCAGTTGGATTATTATTATTATTGCTCCCTTGGGTTCCTAGTGGAACATAGAGCTTCAACTACACGTCTCCACTTGCTTCTGTCTTCCGCTGTACTTTCCACCTGCATCCATGTTAGTCCATACTGTTTCAGCTCCTCTTCACACGATCTCCTCCATGTCACCCTTGGACGTCCCACTAATCACCGCTTCCCTTTCGGGTTCCACTCGAGCTATGGCCTGACTCGCGATGTCACCCAGTGGCCTCCTCAACGAGTGTCAAATCCATTTCCACTTTCTCCTGCATATTTGTTGAGCGATTGGTTCCTGTTTCGTTTGTTTGTTCCCATAGTTTCTTGTTGGCGATTCTTTCCGGCCATCTGATCTTCAGTATAGAGCGAAGATAGTTGTTGATAAAGGTCTGCAACCTGTTGGAAATATTCTTTGTGACCCGCCAAGTTTCTGATCTGTATAGAAGAACTGACTTGATGTATCCGAATTTTCCGAATTTTGTTGTTTATGCAGGCTGAGTGACGAAGATTTCCAGATAGGTTTCAGATTGATGAATGTGTTTGTCGCCTTCCCGATTCTCGCTCGATTTGACATCCTCGTCTGTTCCTCGTGTAGTTGAGACAATGCTCCCTAGATAAGTGAAGTGAATGAAGTAACCTCTTTCAAATCCCTCCTGTTGATGGTGACTAGCGCTGGATGTTGCTGCTGTTGTTGTTGGTTATTTTCATAACCTCTGTCTTGTTTGTATATGTTCACCTGGAGTCCTGTCGTCTCTGGCTGCTTCTTCGACCAGTTTGTCGGTTTTCGCTTGTAAGTCTTCGATTTTGTGTGACATCAAACATAAATTATCCACGCGCGAAATCCAGGTCTTCTAGGTTCTTCACGTCGTCCGAGAATATCCCTGTCTTCTCGTTTTCCACTGTCTGACGCATAATCCAGTCCATCACAATTAGGAATAACATTGGTGATAATAAGCACCCTTGTCTGACTCCTGTGTTTACTCCAAAAGCCTCGCTGAGTTTCCCGTTGTGGATCACTTGACGTGTGGCGTTGTCGTACATCTGTTGAATAAGGTTGATGAATATTTGGGTACTCCGTAGTACTTGAGTAGTTTCCATATTACTTCGCGGTGAACGCTGTGGAAGGCCTTCTCAAAGTCTATAAAGTTGAGGTAGAGGTTTGATCGCCATTCCATGCTTTGTTCGATGATGATGCGTAGAGTTGCAATTTGGTTAGAACATGATTTGCCTTTCCTGAACCCAGCTTGTTCTGGTCGGAATTCTGCATCCAGTGAGTCCTTTATTCTCTCCAGGATTATGCGACTCAGAATTTTACTTGGATTAAAAACGTGATTAAATAGAAAAAAGCTGAATTCAGTTAGTGTTTTGATAACAACTTTAGGCTTTCACTTCGGTCTAAATGTCATATACGTGGTTTTGGTTGTAAGCATAAACAGAAGTCATAAAAGTTAACTACTAAATTAATAAAATATACCTACCTATTGACTTTTGGGAATTGAAGATTTACTTTCATTTTCTCTACAAATTCGACACTATTCTATTCTTTTTTATTATTTTTTAATGCCTTCCTGCTTTATCGCTTTTAGCAACATATACAGATAGATAATTATCCACTCTAAAGGTATACATGAAATTGGTTGACTTAAGTTTAGTTAAGTTTTGGCCATAAAGGCAACATTATTTAGGGAATTGATGCAAGTCAAAAAGAAGATTTAGAGCATACGAAGTGAACTGATTGTATGAAAACCAAAGGTCCTAGTTTGAGATTATTCTGGTGTGTGTATGTATGTATTCACGGTCACATGACTGTCGACCTGTATGAACTCGTTACTTTCTAGTTAAGCGTGTTTATAAATGCAATAACCAATAACAGGAACATAAGTTCCAGCCAGTATAGCTTGTTGGGTCATTGCGGTGTTCAAGCCCGACCACCACGTCAAGGTAGCAGGTTTCGGTTGGGATGCGATTCGCCCCGAAGGGCATTACTAGCTGATATAGGTGCAGGTTGGAAAAGAGTAAGTGGTGGCCAAACAAAAACATGGCATCAATCCATGAAATCCTTGACAGTTAAAATGAGTCAGGTAGGGAGATGCAGACTTCCGGGTCGGGGCCCTCGGGACTCTAAGAATCAATGGCTGGAGACAATAGGTGATATGGCTCAAAATCGTTGTCAATGGCTTACGCAGATGTATTCAGTCTCTTTAACCTTTCATATTCCTTTCTACCATTACTCATTCTGTTTCACTCTTATACTTGTCAAAACTCTATTGATTCTCTTCACCCATCTTCCTGTCTACCTTTGTGTGCTATTTGGAACGTGGCAACTCGAACCGCTGCACTTCGGTGCCAAGTTCTATGTTGAATCCAGCAGCAGCAGCATTCGGTTCGTTAAATATTCAATCAGCAATAAACTGAAGTATCAATGCATGATGGTATATACTACTTGGTTGATTGGTATGAGTATTTGGACATCACTGAAAACAACTCGTATTACTTGCAAGCCAGATCGAAGTGGTCCAAACACCGGATAGGCGTTTCACTCCTTTGGGACAGAGTTTATCAGTGGTGTACTTACTCTGTTTCGACTCGTCAAATCGCGAAATTGAGTCCATATATATTACTGTTGCACTGAAATAGCTAGCTAATATTTGGAAGGTTTAAACTGATTTATCCCTTCTGAGCTTAGTCAAGACCTGACGAACTCGTTCCCAAACAGACGAAATGGCCGTCTGGTTGGTCGATCTGGCTATCAGGCAGTACTGGTTGATGTCAGTGGTATCCAACCTCATATACCAATCAATCAATAGTATATGCTAACTTTCTTGATCGCCATTTAATGCTATAAAGAAGGTCGTATATTGTGATCTTCAACTCCAATGTGAAGTCAGTCAGTGCTACTATACGGATCAGAGACTTGCACTGCGCGTCATAAAGAGCACCTCAAACAAACTACAGACCTTCATTAACAGCTGTCTTCGCTCAATACTCAAGATCAGATGGCCGGCCAGAAAAGATCAACAACAGAGATCTCTGGCAATGAGCCAACCAACCAGGAACCGACTGTGAAACAAATAGGGAGGAAGAAATGGAGTTAGGTGGGTTGGCCATACTCTGAGGAAACCATCAAGTGACATCACTAGACAAGCCCTTTAGTGGAAACCGAAAGGGAAGCGGCGAGTTGGTCGTCCAAGGGTGACTTGGAAGAGGTCATGTGAAGAAGAGATGAAAACATGTGGGCAGACTTGGAGCCAGGTGAAAACTCTAGCAGAGAACAGAACGCAATGGAGATGCGCGGCTGAAGCCTTATGTTCCTCTAGGAATTAAAGGAAATAATAATATATAATATTGTGATCTGAACAAATTTCGCTTTTCAAAGGAAAATGTGATATATTTCACCTCGAAATTTGTTTAATTTAAGGACTTAATTAAATTGAAGTATGTTTACAAAGATTATCAGGTATGATTTTTATTGGAAATGAAAGTATGCACGTTTTCTAATTGAGTTTAAAAATAAAAGAAACATAAGTGTGATATTTGTAGGTTACATTTTTCAAATTAATCAGTTTTTTAAATAATCTCTGTTCTTATCGTACACAGCATTTTGAATTTGTTGGCCGTGGATTATCGTTTGTTAGCTTCAACTGTGGACATCGCAAGTTGTAGTCTTCTTGAGCACATAACAGCCTATAAAAGTAAATCTATCGCTGATGAGAGAAGAACATTTTTTTAAAGTTATTGCATAGTTTCAGTAATGTTTCGCTTGTGTTAGAGTTAATTCAAAATGATTTACTCTCAGTATCAAAAAAAGTATTTGTATTTAGGGGTTTGTAAAACATGTTTTTGTTAATCGCTTTCATTTGTGCCTATTTCTGTAGATTTTAAAGGATGGTGCTTTTGTATGTGTTATTTGGTCATCGGTTATGGATTTTTAAGGTTTGAGATGTAACTGGACTTCATGTTTTTGAAAAATTGCATACCCTTATGTGCATCTGTAACGACTTTAGGTTACAGGTGAACACAATGAGTTCTTTCTCTAACGTGCATTTTCATAAGTAGTTATATGTCTTGAAAATAAATGTAGTTCAAAAACTAATTTACATTATAGTAGTAACTAATACTTTTTATATTACCATGATTGCAGTGCACTGATAAACGACTTTATTTCATTGGATTGATTGTGCCTAGGTTTTTATGCATTTTAAGCAACTAATAGATTTTCTTCAATGGTTCTCTAACCAATGTCAGCTCATGATGAAATCCTGTAACCAATCAACCAAATCCCTACAAACCAATACTTGAATATCAATGAGATGCTCACTGGCGACTGGTCCTATTCAGATAGGTAGTTACCTGGGGTTCTAGTGGGAAGTCGTGACCAGTAGGGTGCAGCAGGTCGGGTGTGAGGACAAATACTCGCCGAAGACATTGGCTAGCGGTTGCGCTATATCGTGAATTGGCAGAAGTTAGAATTCATGGGTCATTGGATCGGGTCCTAGTGGCTTAATGGTCTACGAGCTCGTCTTGTAACCAGAAGGTCCTGGGTTCTAACCCCGGTGGGTGAGTACTGATGAAGAGTCCCGAACTAGGACGAAACAGCTGTCCAGTACTCCCAGCTTTTCCAATGGTTCTCTAACCAATGTCAGCTCATGACGAAATCCTGTAACTAATAGATTTTCTGTTCTTCCCTTTCACAATCTGAATTGTGGATAGTTAGCTTAACGTCTTCTATCAACATTTGAGCAACATAGTTTTGAGATCATTGTGGATAGTTGTTCGAATATATAAATATAAATTGTGTGTGTGGTCGAATGTATCTGCATGTAACAGATGTATACATCATGAAATTCATGAAATCACATGTGATCAGAAAGTAGGTTTAAGCTTTCCTACAGGCTTTCGTTAATATTTGTCTAAAAATGTGACGTTTCTGTTTTACATATATATTAGTAATGAAGCTTACGACATTATTGACAATATTCGTAATAGTATTGCTGTTTAGTTATAATTGTATATACACATCATATTAGGTTAGTTGTAGTTTATTCAATTGGGAAAGTTTTCATTTTTCTTACCTGGCTAGTGCTTCTACGCATTCATTCACATTTTCTCCTGTTAATGCACTTGTTTCAAAGAACAATGCTCCAATCTCCTAAAGAAACGATGAAATAAGATACAGGTGAATTTTATAGTCAATTAATGAGAAATATTCACTAATAGTCAATACGAATTTCTAGAGTATAGTGAGTAGAAGAACTGAAAATCAATAAAGTGACGCTTTAATGCTTTGAAACTTGAAAGATACAACTATGTATGGTGACGGGCAATCTGATGGTAAGATTATGGGATGTCCTAGTAGAATTTTGTTCTCTGAAGTGCATTGTTTTTGACTGAAGATTTTAGTGTCTCTAGATGCCACTTCAGTTTTACTTCATTCGAAAGGAAACCCGGTATATTTTTCCATCAGCATTTATAGATCAGTATAAGTATCAAACATTGGACCGTTTAAGAATCATAACTAGACACCCTATCGATAGCTGCTACCTTGACGTGGTGGTCGGGCTTGCATATCGCAATGACCTAACAAGCTACACCGGCTGGAACTGATGTTCCTGCATGTCCCACCATGCCAGGAAGATTGGTAAGGTGGCGATTAAACTAAAAGCAGTTACCGGCATGGTGTAAAATTTGTTTTGCACTATGCTGGTTGTGTGTGGGCATAGTCATACTTCTGGGGAACAGGGTGTTTCCCTCAGAAGACCAAAATGCCAGCTATTCTCTCCCTCCACTGTGGATAGAGGGGGTTCGTATAGGTCGACCCCAAAAGTTGTACATCCCGACTTACCCTACGGTGATCCGTAGCCACCGGTAAGTTACTAATACAGAACCGAACCTAAAAGCTAGGTCGAACAGGCGGTGTGTGGCCGGCTTCAGGCGGTTGTCCCCGGGCTCTGAGGTCACGCAATACTAATTATCTTTTTATTTCAGGTACCCCAAGAAAAAATCAACTCCCACAGTGAGGGCAGCCTGGAATTAACAGCCACCCACACACTTCTGAAATCACACGAAGGCCTCCTGATCATCATACTCCTTTATCCACGTCATCCTCATCATCTTGCTTGCCTACTACTGTTAGTGCTATTCTTCAGGCTAGTCAATCATCATTTCATTTTGTGATCTAAAATAGCGACGAGAGCCAGAAAAGCACTCCCGATAGTCTCTTAAAGCCACGCCGCCAACTTCATATTGGAGAGTCTAACGTCAATACCCTTTGCCAAATTGGACAACAGGCATCACTAGCCAGAACTCTGGCATCTCGAGCCGTGGATGTACGTTGTATTTCGGAGACACGCATACAAGACCCAAGTGAGGTTATTCACATAACCCCACCCAGCCAACAAGGTGAATCTGCAAAATTCATCTTATGGGTGTCAGGGGGATTCCTCATCTAGTTAGCGAGGATTCGCAGGTGTAGGGATAGCATTGAGTGTCAGGGCAGAAAAGTAACTTTTGACTGGATGGATCCCAGTAGGTAGTCGTATTTGTGCGGTCCGTCTGAACGGGTCCTTTAGAAGAAAGCAGGACGGCATTATCCATCGTTATCTTTTCATAGTCTCCGCTTACGCCCCAACCGACTGCAGTTCGAATGAATTCAAGAATGATTTCTACCAGTCAGTCAGACAATTAGATAACAGAAATGCCCTACTATCACTCGTAGGACTTATACTGAGTCCTTTTCTTTGAATTTCCTACATTGATGTCAGAGAGAAGGTAGCGGAACAGAATCAGCATTTTTACGGAGTTATTAATCAAAGAAGTTTATATGTATACATTCTATAGTTTGGTTTGTAAGGGTTAGTTATGTTTTTTACGAGTTGATCACGGATTGATATCGGTTAGAGAACCATTGAAAACCAGGCTGTACTGGACAGCCGCTGTTTCATCCTAGTTTGGGGATCATCGGCAGTACGCACCCACTGGGATTCGAACCCAGGACCTTCCGGTTACAAGGCAAGCTCGTACACCCTTCAGCCACTGGGATCCGATTCAATGGCTCATGAATTCTAACTTCTACCAATTCGTGATTTAGCGCGACCCAACCATTGTCGTTGGTGGGTATACGAGCTTGCCTTGTAACCGGAAGGTACTGAGTTCGAATCCCAGTGAGTGTGTACTGCCGATGATTCCCAAACTAGGATGAAACAGCAGCTGTCCAGTACTGCCTGGTTTTCAATGGTTCTCTAACTGCTATCAATCCGTGATCAACTCGTAAAAAAATATATATACATATATATATGTATATATATATATATATATCTTCACCTTGATATGACTATGAGCAATAAATTGTGCTCGAAACGTCATCAGTAAATATTACTGTATAACACTGTGAGACTCTATCAAAATAAAATTTACCCATAATGGAATATCTTCATCTAGTTTACTCTGAACTATACTGACTGAATGATTTTGTAGCGGACTCACGGAAACAAGTACTCACAAAGCATAATATTATACTCTAAACTTAAATATTTGTGGTTACAATGCATATCTTCCGTCAAAATCACTCAATCTCCAGTCTCACTTCTCAGTTTTACAGAAACTCCTCAATCAACTCAAGGTGACTCATAGATATTAAGATCTTGAAAAAAGGTGAATACTTCATTAAAGGAAGATTGGAATTTTGTACGTTGAATGAATTTCAAACTAGAACATTAGATGTTATTTGGATGTTTAATAGTCCTCTAGTTATTTGCAATCCATTAAAAATGTGTTCACTTCTATCTCATTCATGCAATCTGCTAAAATACTGACTATGTAAAGAGATACTGGTTATTAAAGTGTATAATAGTAATCAGTCATTTGGAGAAATCATTAGAATAATGTTTGAAGTGATGAGTTATCAGATATACTTGTGATTTAAGTGGTAATCTCAACTTCATTGCTAAGATACCTGAGTAAATCCTATGTGAATAAAGCAAGAACAATAGTTTTTGCAGAATAAAATGGTACCATCATTTATTTCGTCGGCTTCTCATCAGCTGCTTACAGCTCAAAGACATTATTAAGTTTATCTACAGAAACATTCTTAACATACTTGCACAGAGTTCATTTTTCAACAAAAAATCAGTCAGTCAAAATATGCATGCAATGCTAATAATAATAAACACTTTATCCCAAGCAATAATAATCATACAGAATGGAAACTTTTGGCATTACGTAATCAGATGAAAGAGATGATGAAAACATCCAGTTACCAGGGCAAAGAAAGACTGATAACTGCTTCTTTCTGAACTCATAAATCGGGTTTCAGGTGCTTGTTGGAGATTGCTTCGGCAAACTTAAGGAGAATTGAACTCTTTCGCCTATTGATAATTTTGAACGATCTTGTGACGTCCACCTCATGACCCTTGTCAAGGAGGTGCTTAACAATGGCAGTGTTGAAAGCATTTGTTCCTTTGAAACATAGGCTTTTTGGTATATGTCCAGAAAATCGTAGATATGCCCTTCTTTCTGTTCTTCCAATGTAAATTTGTATACATAGTTGGAGTTAACATGAGAAGGATATCTGTCGACTTTTGATTGCACCAAGGAGCATGTTGTTCGATAGATGGGAACCAGCTTAGCTGCAGAATAGGCTCTGGTTAGTGTCGTCCTCAATCTTCTGTTGACAATTGCTGTAATATTTTCACCTTTAAAATCAAGTTGAATGAAGATGGGCTTTTTTTCCCACTGTGATTTGTTTGGCATTTGAGCCTTCACATCTTCCGTACTTATTAATAAACCTATGAGGGTAACCGTTGTTTTCCAACATCTTTTCGAGAAATTAGAGGAAGAATTTATGTTTCTTTGCCCTGGTAACTGGATGTTTTCATCTTCTCTTTCATATGATTACGTAACGCCAAAAGATTCCATTCTGTATGATTATTATTATTAGCATTGCATGCATATATTATTATTATAATATTGACTGACTGATATTTTGTTTAAAAATGAACTCTGTACAAGTATGTTAAGAATGTTTCTGTAGATAAACTTAATAATGTCAGCTCATGATGAAATCCTCCATGCAATCAAACAAAATTCCCTACAAAACCAATACTTAATAATGTCTTTGAGCTGTAAGCAGCTGATGAGAAGCCAACGAAATAAATGATGGTACCATTTTATTCTGCAAAAACTGTTGTTCTTGCTTTATTCAAATTCATAAAGGAGAATAAATGTATGAAGTAAACCCTGTTTAACTGTCCACATACTTTTTCCACCAAAAGTTGAATAATATCAGCTAGGGACTAGATGTACTCTGAAATCAGAGAAGTTCTTACAAATCTAGCTCTGAAATGACTAGTTTTCACTAAACTTTCACTTACAGACTCTTGATTGGATAACTCGGCTGTAAATGATTACACCTGGGAATACTGTTTATTTTATTAAAGTGTAAATTCCTTATAAATTAAACGCTTAAATTTGAGTTTCAAATAATGAATACTAGATTCGAGCTTGAAGCAATCTACTGTAGTATTATGAGACTGTGGATCGCAGGTGTGGAAGTGAAAGGCTATTTGTATTACGTAAGTGAATTGAATACAGAAATGAAGTGGTAAATGAGCTTCATTATATTATCGTATGAATCATAAGTTTTATTGGAAAGGTAATTTTTTTAATCTTGTTAATAATAATAGTAATTTCAGACTTACTCTTGCTAATTTACCACCTGTTGCATAGCTAACACATTTATTCCCTTGCCACTCCTTTTGCTCTTTTAAATCCTTCTTATTACCAATTATAGCAATAGGTATTTGTTTACCAGCGTTCTCCTATTAGAAAAGAAATGTAAGGCAGAAATATGAAACTATAGTATTAATATTTCGTATTTTTACAAATTTATTCATAGTCTGTTTTAGAATTCAGACTATATTATCTTTGTAAATAGTGTGTTACCCAACAGCCACTGATTAACCTTGGAATTTGGGAAAAGGCTGCAACATTTTTGTGAGGATAGACATTACTATTAGACTGCCTAAATGTTAATTTAATGGGTAAAGTGGTATTTGAACTCTCTACACTCAATGATTAGAAGTCTAGCGCCTAAATCAGTAAACCAAAGGATCGTTCTTTCTGTATTAGCTATCAAAATTATCATATCTGAAACAATTCTTGTAATCTAAATGAATTTTTAATAATATAGAGGTACTCTTTAGAAATAAGAACAAATAGTCTAACGAAGAGACTCTTTTCAGCAATATCATTCACAAAGATGTCCACTGGACACCAGTGAAATAATTAGGAGCTTGACATTCTGTCTAGAACGTAATTATTTTACATTTAAAGAGAGTTTATATGGACAGACAAATGGTGTTGCTATGGGTTCACCAGTCTCCCCAATAGTCGCTGACCTTTTCATGAATAGATTCGAAAATAACATCTTTTCAAGCATACTCACTCCTAAAATATGGTTAAGATATGTAGATGATACTTTTGTAGTACTAAAACGAGATCTACACATTTCATTCCTGGAGAAAATAAACTGTGTATCTCCCAGAATCCAGTTCACTTCGGAAGCAGAATCTGATATCGGTGAACTACCATTTCTAGACTGCCTAGTTAAGAGAAGGGAAAACGGACATTTTAGTATATCCATATTCAGGAAGAAAACCCACTCCAATAAATATTTAGACTTCAGATCATCACACCCCATCAGCGCAAAGATTTCAGTTGTTTCAAGTCTTAGACGAGTACACTCTTTGATGTTAACGGATGAGAAAGAAAAAGAAGAAGAAATATTAAACATTACTGAAACTCTCAAGCAAAACAACTACCCAAGGAACTTCATCAACAAAATCAACACAGACATTAAGTATGGTCGAAAACGCATTCCGAAAACATGGACCTCAACAGTCGTCATTCCATATAGAGCAGAGACGTCAGACGATATCAGAAGAGTACTCAATCAGCTCGACATTAGAGTTTTCTTCAAAACATCAGACACACTACGAAACAACCTTGTCCATATAAAAGACCAAATCCCTAAAGATTCTCTATCTAATTGTGTCTATAAAATAAAATGCTTGGAATGTGATGCGATATACATCGGACAAACATCTCGAGAAATCAAAATCAGAAGAAATGAACACCGTAGAGCATCTGTTCGACCACCGAGAAATCCGGTTGAACTAGAAAAACTTGAAAAATCATCAGCCATAGGTCTACACGCTATAGAATCAGGACAAAATTGATTTTGACAATATTGAAATTATCCAGAAAACTTCAGAAATCACAAAGAACGTCTAATATCAGAAGCACTTCATATCAAGTGGAATCCAAATTGTCTGAATAGGAATGATGGACTAAAACAGAATCTGACCTGGTTACAACACCTCCCTCCCCCATGAAGTGACAAAATCAACACGAATGTGATAAGCAATATCATTATATAAACACACGCTGTTTTATAATTTTACACACTTATCAAATCCAACAATCTACACTTGGTTTTGTTATCTTTACCAATTGGCCAACTTGACAACGAAAAATGACCCCATACTGACGAACGATGATCAAGTTAGTAAACTTTGTTTTGATACCATAACAGATGTACTATTACCTTTGTTATTTGGTTTAGTGATCTTCATTGTTATTTTGACTTTCAATATGTCCCTTTTAACTTGACCTAAGTCTATTTTCTCACCCCTTAACTCTTTGTTATATATATGCTGAGATTTTGTAAATTCTGGTTTAATAATACTTTGATAAAGCTATTAGCAGCATTAAATAGCGAAACGTCAGTAAAAACAGCAATATCGTTTTGTTTTTCATTCATTGGGAAATACAAAAACCTTTAGTATAATGAATCATTCAGTTAACCATATATTTCTCCATTTATACATGGTTACTTTTTTCTCTGTCTGTGTTTATACTCATTAGAACCGTCATCATGATATATACGGTGGTCATTTAATTATACGCCAGTGACATGTATTATGAATTTGAATAAAGCAAGAACGAAGGTGGTTTGTGCAGAATAATATGGTACCATCATTTATTTCGTAGGCTTCTCATCAGCTGCTTACAGCCTAAATACATAATGAGGTTTGCGTACAGAAAAGTTTTAACATACTTGCAAATTTTTACATGTTGCCAGTTGACATAAAGTTCCACAGTAAGTGAACAGTGCTCAGAAAATTGCGCTTATATAGTTTTTACACATGCAGTTCAAGTTTAAACAAAATAGATGTATGCATAAAATGGTAAAGGAGTTACGTAATAAAGACGAAATATGAGTTAGATACAGAGTGACTAAGAAATTAGGTAACAATGTACTGAGTTCAACTCAAATCATAGAAACAAGAGACAGGCAAAATTACAGAATATAAAAGGGGTGAGGTTAAAAACAAAGATTACGTAATCAGATGAGAGAATAAAGACATTCAGTTACCAGGGCAAAGAGAGATTAATAACTGCTTCTTTCTGAACACATAAATCTGGTTTCAAGCGTTTGATAGAGATTGCTTCGGCAAACTTGAGGAGAATGGAACTCCTTTGTCTATTGATAATTTTAAAGGATTTCTCGATTTCTACCTCATGACCCGTGTCGAGAAGATGTCTAGTGATAGCGCTGCTATAAGAGTTTGTTCCCTTGAGACGTAGGCTTCTTGGCACATGTTCAGAAAATCGGAGGTGTGCCCTTCTTTCTGTTCTCCCAATGTAACTGCTCCCGCAGATACACGTAAATTTGTATACACAGTTGGAGTTAACATGAGAAGGGTATCTATCGACTTTTGACTGCACCAAAGAGCATGTTGTTCGATGGACGGGAACCAACTTAGCTGCAGGATAGGCTCTGGCTAGTGATGTTCTCAGTCTTCTGTTGACCATTTCTGCAATGTTTTCACCTTTAAAATCTAGTTGAATGAAGACAGGCTTTTTTTCAACTGTGATTTGTTTGGTATTTGAGTCTTCACATCTTCCATATTTGTTTATGAATCTTTGAGGGTAACCGTTATTTTTCAGCACCTTTTCGAGGAACATAAATTCTTCCTCTAGTTTCTCTGTAGAGCATATTCTCCTTGCTCTATAGTACAGAGTCTTGACTAGTGCTCGTTTATAGCTATTTGGACAAAAGCTATTAAAATGTAAGTATTGTCCATTCCATGTAGGTTTTCGGTAAATTGACCTCTGGAGATTACCATCTTCTAGGCGTTGCATGGCGATGTCAAGGAAATGGAACTTCCCGTCATTTTCATGTTCCATGGTAAATACAATATTTGTATGTGCTTTGTTGAATAGGCTGAGGAGGTAGGAGGCATGACTGTCGTTTTTGCATACTACAAATGTGTCATCGACATATCGACAATAGGAAGTTGTTTGATCGATTGCATGCTTCAACTTTGTTTTCTCAAGGTTTGACATGAAGATATCTGCTAGAACAGGGCTAAGTGGACTGCCCATGGCTACGCCATCTATTTGTCGGTAAAGAGTGTTATCAAACTGGAATTGTACATCCATGGTACACATTAGCAGTAGGCGTTTGAATTCTGACTCTGGTAGTGGAAGTAGATCAGAATGTTGACAAATGATTTCAATGGTTTCATTGATTGGGATCATTGTGAACAAGGAGGTTGCATCAAATGAGACCATGAACTTATTTAAAACGTTCATATGATTCACGCTTTCGGCGAAATGAAATGAGTCTTTTATGGTATGCACGGCTAGACGTCGGCGAATGGGTTCCAACTTCTCCGCAAGCCAACGGGCAACCTTATGTTGAGGAGAGTTGATCATCGAAAGTATTGGTCTTAGAGGGACTTCTTTCTTGTGTATCTTTGGAAGGCCATACATATATGTAAGCAGCTGATGAGAAGCCTACGAAATAAATGATGGTACCATATTATTCTGCACAAACCACCTTCGTTCTTGCTTTATTCAAATTCATCAAGGGGAATAAATGCATGAAGTTTCTCAAAAATCGCCTCCCCGCAGAATCTTTCAAGTCACTGGATCGTTTGGTGACAATTCGTTGCAGAATATCCAGAGAAGTGACTCGAATAAAATTTTACGATGAATGCTTGCAGTCGCACTGCTTTCCTCGCCATCTCATGAAGTCACTACGTACTTGCAAATTACCGCCCTCCCTCAGAAACCTTCGACGTATAACGAAATCGCATATTGAATCAACAGAGTCTCTGATTTCAAAATTGAGAACTGAAGCCCGATCCTTTGATGCTGTCGTCAATAATTTAAATTTAGTATGCCGAATCAAATTCATCAATTTCATTCAAGAGCTGCAACAGAAAACATGTGCAGATTTCTATAAAACTCTGTCGAAATCCCTGACGAAGGAGAAACTATGTGACGTCTTCCCAGAAAATCCTGAGGAGTTTGTGTATAATCTGTCGAGTTTGAATTTAAGCCGCATTGAAATGGAAGCACTTTCCCTCGGATTCAACTTCCATATCCCGAATAACTTTATCAACAGAACCGATGTCGCAGCTCAATTCGAAAACCTATTCTATCAGCTGAATGACCTTACTCCAGTTGATGAGGACAGGAAGAGCTGGTTCAAATCTAAGTTGGTCGACGTTGCAAATCAATATCTCATTTCACCAACATCATATTCCAAATTCCTCTCTGAAGAACATCGAAAGGCATTGAAATCTCTCAGAAATAATGACAAAATCGTCATACTGCGACCTGACAAAGGCTCAGGAGTGGTACTGATGGATAAAGATGACTACATCGCAAGAATGAAAACTCTGCTGAATGACCCATTGAGGTTTAAAGTCGACGACTGCCAGAAAGACAAGACAGATGCAACTGAAAAACGCATCACCAATGTACTGAGAGATCTTCTAAAAAAGAATTTGATTGACAACAACACGTACAATGAATTAAAGCCCAGAGGGTCCCGCTTGCCATATATGTATGGCCTTCCAAAGATACACAAGAAAGAAGTCCCTCTAAGACCAATACTTTCGATGATCAACTCTCCTCAACATAAGGTTGCCCGTTGGCTTGCGGAGAAGTTGGAACCCATTCGCCGACGTCTAGCCGTGCATACCATAAAAGACTCATTTCATTTCGCCGAAAGCGTGAATCATATGAACGTTTTAAATAAGTTCATGGTCTCATTTGATGCAACCTCCTTGTTCACAATGATCCCAATCAATGAAACCATTGAAATCATTTGTCAACATTCTGATCTACTTCCACTACCAGAGTCAGAATTCAAACGCCTACTGCTAATGTGTACCATGGATGTACAATTCCAGTTTGATAACACTCTTTACCGACAAATAGATGGCGTAGCCATGGGCAGTCCACTTAGCCCTGTTCTAGCAGATATCTTCATGTCAAACCTTGAGAAAACAAAGTTGAAGCATGCAATCGATCAAACAACTTCCTATTGTCGATATGTCGATGACACATTTGTAGTATGCAAAAACGACAGTCATGCCTCCTACCTACTCAGCCTATTCAACAAAGCACATACAAATATTGTATTTACCATGGAACATGAAAATGACGGGAAGTTCCATTTCCTTGACATCGCCATGCAACGCCTAGAAGATGGTAATCTCCAGAGGTCAATTTACCGAAAACCTACATGGAATGGACAATACTTACATTTTAATAGCTTTTGTCCAAATAGCTATAAACGAGCACTAGTCAAGACTCTGTACTATAGAGCAAGGAGAATATGCTCTACAGAGAAACTAGAGGAAGAATTTATGTTCCTCGAAAAGGTGCTGAAAAATAACGGTTACCCTCAAAGATTCATAAACAAATATGGAAGATGTGAAGACTCAAATACCAAACAAATCACAGTTGAAAAAAAGCCTGTCTTCATTCAACTAGATTTTAAAGGTGAAAACATTGCAGAAATGGTCAACAGAAGACTGAGAACATCACTAGCCAGAGCCTATCCTGCAGCTAAGTTGGTTCCCGTCCATCGAACAACATGCTCTTTGGTGCAGTCAAAAGTCGATAGATACCCTTCTCATGTTAACTCCAACTGTGTATACAAATTTACGTGTATCTGCGGGAGCAGTTACATTGGGAGAACAGAAAGAAGGGCACACCTCCGATTTTCTGAACATGTGCCAAGAAGCCTACGTCTCAAGGGAACAAACTCTTATAGCAGCGCTATCACTAGACATCTTCTCGACACGGGTCATGAGGTAGAAATCGAGAAATCCTTTAAAATTATCAATAGACAAAGGAGTTCCATTCTCCTCAAGTTTGCCGAAGCAATCTCTATCAAACGCTTGAAACCAGATTTATGTGTTCAGAAAGAAGCAGTTATTAATCTCTCTTTGCCCTGGTAACTGAATGTCTTTATTCTCTCATCTGATTACGTAATCTTTGTTTTTAACCTCACCCCCTTTTATATTCTGTAATTTTGCCTGTCTCTTGTTTCTATGATTTGAGTTGAACTCAGTACATTGTTACCTAATTTCTTAGTCACTCTGTATCTAACTCATATTTCGTCTTTATTACGTAACTCCTTTACCATTTTATGCATACATCTATTTTGTTTAAACTTGAACTGCATGTGTAAAAACTATATAAGCGCAATTTTCTGAGCACTGTTCACTTACTGTGGAACTTTATGTCAACTGGCAACATGTAAAAATTTGCAAGTATGTTAAAACTTTTCTGTACGCAAACCTCATTATGTATTTAGGCTGTAAGCAGCTGATGAGAAGCCTACGAAATAAATGATGGTACCATATTATTCTGCACAAACCACCTTCGTTCTTGCTTTATTCAAATTCATCAAGGGGAATAAATGCATGAAGTTTCTCAAAAAACATGTATTATGCTATATTTTAGCCTTCCCTTAAATCATTCATTGCTGCATTATTCCAAGCTATTCCAAAGAAAATAACCTTCAAAAGATGAATGAATTCTTTCTTGAAGTAAGGGAAATGCTTTACTAATATATGCATAAATATCCTGAAATTCATTTTAGATACATTGAAAAGTTGTTTACTTAATCTCATATAGCACCATTTAGATTATAAGACATTATAGGTTCTATCTTTAATCTATGATATATTTTAATTATTATTATTGTTTCCTTTAATTCCTAGAGGAACATAGGGCTTCAGCCGTGCGTCTCCATTGCGTTCGGTTCTCTGCTAGAGTCTTCACCTGGCTCCAAGTCTGCCCACACGTTTTCATCTCCTCTTCACATGACCTCCTCTAAATCACCCTTGCACTGACGACCAAATCGCCGCTTCCCTTTCGGGTTCCACTCGAGCAATGGCTTGTCTAGTGATGTCACTTGATGGTTTGTTTCCTCAGACTAAGGCCGGCCAATCCATCTCCATTTCTTCCTGCCTATTTGTTTCACAATCGGTTCCTGATTGGTTCGATCCCATTAAGTATGGTCGAAAACGCATTCCGAAAATATGGACCTCAACAGTCGTCATTCCATATAGAGCAGAGACGTCAGACGACTTTTATTTATTTATTTATTTTAATAAGGTGTTGAATAAAATCCTATTACTTTAGCATGTATTGGATCCTCAACGTCATACGTTCCTTTAAAGAGATTGACTCGAGATGTGTTACAATTTCGTCGCAGTTAGATTTTGAAATTAAGTAATATGCGAAGTAAACTTATAAAAATTTTGAGTGGGCTATAATGATGACTTTATTCTCTTTCTTAATGGCTGTTATGAATATTCCATGTACTGAAGCTTCGTAAAGTGAAGTAGACTGAATATTGACTGGATATTGTTCAGTATTCCCCTTGTTTTATTACTTGATTACGTAAATTTCAATATCAGGTTAGTGGATTTAAAAAAAACAAAATTATAAAGACTTAAGTCTCCTATCAGGATTTCGAACTGTAGAACATTGTACAGATTACTTGAACCAACGCCTATACAACAGATGATCTATGTCAGTAAAATGAAAATGATGAGTAGGAAAATGAAGTTGATTTTAGCGTTTTAAATGAATTGCAACCAACTCACTTCTATAATCGTAATCCAGTCTCTAGTACTCATAAAGGAAAATTCTGAAGTACAGTCATAGACCAAAAGAATACCATCTGCTTTTCTATAAAAGCTTGCTGATACACTACGAAATCTGTAAAAAGAAATGGTAACAAAATGAACAAATCAGGTAAGAAATTCTAAATGATTTTGTTTAAAAAAAAGAATAAGTAATTGGTATAATTTGAAATGAATTGTGCAGTTGATTACTTCTTCGGGGAGTGATCTTTTTATCCGTTCATATAAGTCGCCTGGTTAGTTTGGCGGCACAGGGAAAGAGTAATATTAACTTGATGATGTTTTCATAATAATTTATCCCTTATATCTGTATCAAAAAGTCTTAAAAATTTGAAGTCATGTTTAAGAACAAATGGGCAGGTAGTTGTTAACTTATGTGAAAAACGCCTTGTGTATTTCAGCTAGATTTTGGAGTCATCTTCGAATAACTGTAGTTTACCGGTCCACAAAATATATTACAGCAAATGCGACGTAGGTTGAAGGTGTAGTGGCGAAGGAAGATAATCCTAGTTACCACAATCAAAGGGAAATATTGAATTCATTATGATATTTACTCTAGTCCTGTTCCTCTCCCTTAACTATCAGTTAATTTGAAATGGTGTATATCGCTTCAATTTAATGTATTGGTAAAATGCAGGGATAAAAGCCAGAAGGTACCAAAAGTTGGTAAGAAATTTCCAAGATGCTCTCAAATGAAGCAGAAGTCTATATGCACATTTATATTTGATGGTGGGACTGTCTGAGATTGTCTCGGGTTGGTGGAATAATATTCCTCCACTGGGTGGTGACTAAAACTGAGATGAAAATCTGCGTAGCGGATGGTTAGAGTGGGATTTGAGTCAGCAGCCTCCAAACTACCAATCTGATGTACCTACCTGCTGAGCTGTGAGATCCAACTTCTAACCAGACCATCATAACACTGTAATGCCCAGCTAGGCTATACGACTCAATGATACGTTACTATCTGTCACAATACTAGTTGCTAAACTAGGTCTTCTCCTGTCACCCGTAATTATACTGAATTAAAAGGAGAGGAGTAGGCTGTGAATGGGTATAATCTTAGGTTAACAGATTGCTACTAATGTATTCGACGATGACTGAAGGTGAGATGAAAATCTGCCAACCTAAAAAGGAATGGAAGATAATAGCAATATTGGTAACATGTATTCATTTTCCTACTGTTCTCTAGACATAAGAAAAACACTGTATTATTCTTTTCTCTTACTTAAACTCTTTTCTTTTTCGGTAGATTACTGAGCATATATTATAGCTTTTACTGAAATTTGAAATTAAATGGCCTATTTTTATGAGTTTGCCTATTACACTGTGTAGAATTTAGCATAATAACAGTGAAATTATTTATTTCTGAAGTGGCTACAAGTTTATATCCGGAAATTACTTGTCGTCTGAATAGCTTAGTCTTGAAGTTTGTGAACTTCATAATGAATGATGCAACACTGGGTTGGTTCTAAAGGGAACGTGACATTTCTGAATGTTGCAGATATAATTTTCCAAAGATATAGAAGAAACAGATAACAAAGAGTCACAGTTTTCTGTTAACTGATGGCCACTTTATCTTACTGAATTACAGTGTTAACCAGATTACTGAAAAGGGTTATCATCAGAAAGAAATAGTTTTTTTATTTGTTCCTTGTTTCTTCAATGCTTCTTACATTATGTTTTATAATATAGCAGAAAATAATGAAACTGTGAATGCATCTGTCTATACATCTTTTCTTAAATTTTCTTCCTTCACTTTCCCCAGTGGACCATAGGGCTTCAAGCTAGTGGCTTGAAGTTTCTGTAGCAGTGTTTATTTTTACAGGATGGGGTTGCTAGCCGCATGCCCAACCTTCCCTCTTCACCAGCATTATTTGTGGCTTAGCGAGGTAAAGGAGTGCTTCGGCCGGGGATCGAACCCCGGACCATGTGCATGGTCGGCGAGCGTCCTAACCGATATGCCACCGACGCCCGTCTATACATCTTAGTTAGTTATAATTTTGAATTCAGCAAATCTTAATGGTATACGAGCTTGCCTTGCAACCAGAAGATCCTGGGTTCGAACCCCGGTGGGTGCGTACTGATGAAGAGTCCCAAACTAGGCTGAAACAGCTGTCCAGTACTTACAGATTTTCCAATGGTTCTCTAACCAATGTCAGCTCATGATGAAATCCTGTAACAAATCTTAATCTATTTAAACCTTATCGCAATAAGAGATGTCAAGTTGTTCGAAGTGGAAAATAAGCTGGAGTCACAAATTTTATTTTTTATTTTACAGTTTGATTCTATATCCTACTATATATGACACTAGGGTAGGAGTTAGTTTGTCAAAACTGACTTCTTTTTAATGGATATTTGGAGTCTGGAATAATAAGATTGTTCAGTTTTTGCTAGATGTTAGTTACTAGTGGAAACATTGTACATAACGCTTGTTTAAAACGATTCATTGTAAAATATACAGAACTTTGGAGTACAACAAAAGACATAACGTGCTACTCGTCACTTCATCATCTCACTGGTCCTTACTATTTACTTGTTTCACTACTAACTGTTTTGTATCCTTTGGAATTTGCAGGAACCTCTCATCATCGTCCAAAGACTTTCCTACAGTTTGTAAACAGTTTCTACTATTGGACATGACCTCAGCAGTGAACATTTCTTTGGATTATATTTGTATCAGTGGACTTTAACTGTATTATTAAGCAACTATTAATTTTTATAACTCGTTATCTGTGTTTCTATAATATACTGACTCCATATTCCGACATTAACTTGGATTTTTATACTCCTATTTTTCAAAATTATCCAGTTTATTGATAAGTCCCCTACAAATAATGCTCGAGTTTAATTCATAATTAAAAAAATTAAATATTCAAAGACTCTCGTGTGTAGACAATGTAGACTTGCCTTTCTTGTCCGGCAGTATCCCATATTTGCATCATGGCTTTTCTACCGTCGACTTCAACAGATCTCATTTTCATATCGATACCTTAATGTATAAAAAAATGTCATGACAAAGATTTATTCGATGGAAATTTCCTCATTTAGTCTGGAAAAGCCACAAACTTGTAGATTCTGTGCACACAGAAATCTTTAAAAATATTGTGGGATCTTAAAATTTATAGTGAGAAAGATTTCATTAGTAATGACTTTTTCATGATTTATTCAAATAGTCATTCAAGACATGATCAAATCATTCTTTTTCTAAAAGTTTAATAATAAAAGACGCAACAGGATATGAATACCTAGCCACATATTTAGTTTTAAGATGTTGTCTGATTTTACCTCGGAAAGTATTTGTGTAACCTCCAAAATGTCTAAACAAACAGGTTGCATATGACTGCCTTTCATTACTTGGTTACAAGTTCCAGTAGTAGTCAGCTGTTTTGTTCATTAATTATTTTGTTCAAATATCTGTTAGATATTTATTTCACTTCAGTATGTATGCAAGCATTTTTATTTGGAATTTTCAACTCTCTAAAGAAAGAATAGTTTTTTACGCCTTACATGACTTAAGTGACAGTTTTGTGGCGCATTATGTAACCGTGTATTGTGTGTGGAACGTTTAAGTAATCGATAACTATATTTTACCAGAGTTTTCATTTATTTTTGTACTAGAATTATCGGCCTCATTTTTGGTATATGAGCTTCTTGAATCAGTTTGTCTGTCTGTCTGCATTCAACATAGGACTTGGCACCGAAGTGCAGCAGTTCGAGTTGCCACGTTCCAAGGAGCACACAAAGGTAGACAAGGAAATGAGTGAAGAGAATCAATAGAGTTTTGACAAGTATAAGAGTGAAACAGAATGAGTGATGGTAGAAAAGAATATGAGAGATTACAGAGACTGAATACATCTGCGTAAGCCATTGACAACGATTTTGAGCCATGTCACCTATTGTCTCCAGCCATTGATTCTTAGAGTCTCGAGAGTGGGCCCCATCCCGGAAGTCTGCATCTCCCTACCTGACTCAGTTTAACTGTCAAGGATTTCATGGATTGATGATGCCATGTTTTTGTTTGGCCACCGCTTACTCTTTTCCAACCTGCATCTATATCAGCTAGTAATGCCCGTCGGGAGAGGCGATGGTTAGGCATGCGCAGCAAGTGACCTAGGCATCTCAATCTATGTAACTTCATAGCCTCTTCGATTGATTTTCCTTGTTTGCCCAACACTCTACGCCTAACGTCAACATTACTTACCTTATTATGCCACCTAACGTGAGAAAGAGATCATAGACATCTATGATCAAAAACAGTCAACCATTTCATGTCTTCAGCTCGTATTGGCCATGTTTCAGAGACATAGAGAAGGACGGAGCGAACTGCTGAGCAGTACACACGTCCCTTGGTTGATAGTCGGATGTCACGCCTACGCCGGAGATGGTGTAAGTTAGCGAAAGCAGCCCGAGCTTTTTGGATCCGTGCTGAGATTTCGTCACCAAACAACCCGTTGGTGCTGATACAACTTCCCAAATAGGTGAAGTGATCAACATGTTCTATTACTTCACTCCCTATCACTAAGCTAGGAGTTGATGTAGTCCAGTCCTGTAGCAGCATCTTACATTTTACAGGGGCGAATCGCATGCCAAACATACGAAGATTGCTGCTCAAGGTGTTCAGAAGACTCTGCATTTTGTCAGCATCTTCCCCTAACAGGACTATGTCATCTGCATATTCTAAGTCCGTAAGACTATTCCCTGGTAACAAGTCGATTCCTAAGTCGTTAAGTTCAGTTAATGATACTTCCATTAGCATATCTATGATGAAGTTAAACAGAAAAGGGGAAAGTGGACATCCTTGACGGACACCACTGGTTGTTATCAATTCAGATGACAATTTTCCATAAGCCCTTACACGGCAACGTGAGTTTGAGTAGAGTGCCTTGATTAGTGCAATGTACTTTCTTGGCACTCCCTTCACAGTTAAACATTGCCATAGTACCTCTCGATCCACGGAGTCGAAGGCCGCCTTCAAGTCAAGAAATATGGCAATTGTTGGACGCCTAAAAGTGTGTCTATGTTCTAGGATCTGTCGGAGAGTGAAGATATGATCTATGCACCCTCTACCTGGCCTAAAGCCCGCTTTATTTCTCCTCTTGAATCAGTTTGAATTAGTTGTATTCTCTGAGCTAGTTGATTTAATTGCGAAGCTTTCGTCGTCCTTCTGGACAACATTTTCAGCGCAGGTTTTAATATGAAATGAACTCATTTGAATTCTCTATGAATAATACAATTATGTCTCCTGGTAATTATTATTATTCTGTATTATTTCTTGAATGACTGCTTAAATGTTGTCATGTTTATTTAAAATTAGAATATCTTTTTTACGTAGTGGCTACCAGTGGAATCCTTTCAAGGAGCCCGTATAGTCCAACGAACAGTCTTAAGTATAAATAGATGATGTTAAAGATTGTTCCTAAAAAAGATTAGGCTGCAACATCACTGTTTCTAAAGTTGCTTTTGAATATCTGAATAAGTTAATTTATAAATTTACTTCTTTCCAGGAAGTATCTTTAATGTTAACCAATGAAAGGAATGCATCTTTTGAAAATACTTTATCTAGTATGCATTCAGAATTATTTCTCGATAAAACCTTATGGCAGCTTTGATTTTTCAATCTGTTTTAACAAGTCTGTTTTCAATTGGAATTTATATTTCTGGAGTTTTGAAACATTTAACTTAAGATTATTTCTCCTTTGTTTAACAACCGCTAGTTATTTTTAGAAAATTTCTCGTCTTCTCGTTTTCTCGATAAATATTTCTACGCTAATTCAGTTGAATGATTTATACATGGTTGCAGATAAGAAAGAATATCATATTGCCAGATCAACACTATGTTGTGTTATATTGTGTCGTGTGCCACTGATAAGATTTATCAGCAGTATATGCAGAGACGTTCATCGGCAGAAAAACATCAAAGAGTGAGGAGATAGATTTGATGTCAGAGTTGTGGAGATACATGGGAGACGTAAAAGGAACCCAAAGAAGCATTATATGAAGGCCATCAGTAGCACAACACGGAAGATGTGTACAAATGGTGCGTTGAAGATAAGCTGTACATAATTTGGCTACATAGAGATACCAAATTACCATCTCTTCGGACTCCTACTGTTTCAGTTGGTGTCGCTGCCTCTAGACAATGGAAATCCCATGGCTGGCTGCTTTTTAGGAAGGAGACACTTGGAGCTTCTTGCAAGACTATGAAGCCGTCGCTAAGTTAGTTGGTGTCAAGGATCCGACGGCGAAGGTGGTCGTGATGGGGACGCTGCTGAGAGGTCGAGCAAAGGAAGCGTAGGACAGTGTGGAGAGTTCAGGTGGGAAGGAGACATGGAAGGTATTGGTTGGACGATTGGTGGCAGAGTTTGACAACCCAATGGACAGGCGGCTGGCTATGCAGCAGTTCCGTGCCGCGAAGCTTGGACCGGACGAAGATCCGCTAGTGTTGGCGGTGAAGTTGACGAATTCACCTCCCTACTATTTGATCTTTTTATGCCGATGGACGTCTCTTTATATATTACTGATAAATCTTATCTTTGTTATTGTTGATGATTAACGTACATAAAACTTGCTTTACTATTTTATTCTCTTCTGAGTACAGCTAAATACATATAAATACATATAAACGCAGACAGTTTAAAAGTTTTTTCTTAGAACAATTTGTTGGGTAAAGGGAAATTTATTCAAGCCCGATATTTTCTTAACTTAATGATATTAAACAACAAAAGTATGTTACTTACCTATAGTTGTAACTGAACTAGCTGTAAACACATTATCGCACATACGTATAAGTAAACTGGTTTTACCAACTTCCGAGTCACCAGCTAACATTATTCGAAAAATTCTTAATTTTTCATCTACTGGAGATTTTATATGATAACTTTCTTTACTGGATAAAATTTTTTTATTTTGCCTTTTTATTGTACCGTTTTTACCATGTGAATCTGGCTGACTTGATGAATATGAAGCTGAAGATTGATAGTTGCAATTATTTGAGTAAACTGATGTTGTTGAAGATGACTTATTTTGTAATTCGGATCGAATACCGTATTTTAAATGGTTCCCAGAATTTCCCTATTTGTATATCAGATAAAAAAAGCAGAATTCTTTATTATTTAACATTTAAGGCTTTTTAACTGCTTATAAGGATGTACTGAAATCAGGTTACACAATGAATGCAGATTCATCGAGAAGAAGTAAGACACCTTCTACTACTTGCCTTGAAGGAATTCCTAAATCTCCTAAGCAAAATTAAGCGTTCATCCAGAAGGTTATTGTTTAAACAATCATTTAAAGGTTTCACGCAGTTCTTACTCCTGTAATACTTGAACAAAACGAGAACAGTTTGAGCAGGAAAATGTGACGTGATATTATTTCATTAGTTCTAGTCAACCGCATACAACATAAAACAGTTTTGATGTAAATAAATAAAATTTTTACAAACTTTAATTAATTAGTTGCCTCCCTGGTTCACTGGTAGAACACTGACCAATCACGCACACTTATCAGAATTCAGTTAACTGCTGAAACATTTTGGAATTCCGCTTAGCCTGCAGTAAGCCTGGTAGAGGGGGGAGGTTTGGTGTGAGGCTAGCAACCAAGCCCTGTAAAATGAAATACTATTGCCAGTGAAACTTCACAACTCATGCTTGAAGCCCTATTTTCCACTTGGAATGCAAAGGGATAAATATAATATTCAGTATAACTAATTAATTAGGAGATGGAAACCACTAATATTACGTAACTGAGTACACGACGAGTTGAAAAAAACATACACGTGGGAGTAAGTTCCTTGTTATATACAGAAAAATCACAAGAATTTTCTAGTGTAAGGGATGGAATTTTGGTGTGCAAAATGGAAATTGAGTGGCACGTGATAAGTAAGAGACCCAAGTTTTGATGATTGTAAGTGATTAAAATAATAATAAGTTGATTACAGTTCAAATATTCAGGTGAAGAGTTTGGATGAAATCAAAAAGTGAATTAAGCTGTATTAAATGACACTGTCAGAATGAATATTTCGCCTTGTGGTAATGTTGATTGCTTATAGAGTCATGATAAAGGCTGTTGATGGGGACTTTCCAATCACTTATTATTGCTTCTGAATGAATTATACGCTTTAACCGTTCACTGAAATCAATACTATGCAGTGCAGAAACACATGTAAAATTTCATATTTCTTGAGTGTGTCACTTTAAACAAGAAATGTAGTCGGAAATCATTGTTTTGTATTTGGATTCTACGCCATTTTTCAGCTCTAGGGCATTTACTGTCACAGAAATATAAGATAAGTGTTATCATTACAAATCAGGTTTCATATATAGATGGCTGTTTCACATAGTTTCGATTTGGTCTGCTATAATAACATAAAATGCACTTCGAGTTACTTTGCAAACAAAACTATAAAGAGGAATTTAGAATGCCAAAGATAAGATGTCTCCTCACTTCGAGCTTCTATTTGGTAAAATTAATTAGTACTTTCAAATATTACTGAAGTCGCATGCCTCACAGTATGTCAGAAGTTTTAATAGGAAGCCAAAGAAAAGGGGAAAGAAGGAGAATCAGATTTTAACTGTCATTTATCCTCCATGATTTATTTGTGTTTCTCAGTCGTCAGCTTAGTAAGAATTAGGCTGAAATATTGCTCTACCTACTGAAATGCTTGTAAGTAGGTCAAAGGTAAACAAAGAAGTTGTAAGGAATCGTTAAGTAGCTTGACTTGTTGAATGGGACGCATAAACAAAATTTACATTTAATGGGGTAATAATTGTTTAGTTTAAGGGGATGAGACTTTACGGTATTTCTCTGATGTTTGTCTCTCTATTAACCAAAATCTAGCCATATTTAATTCCTCATAACTAAATTAATGGAGTAACTTATGTGAAACAATCAAAGTTATAATTCTAAGTTGCAGAACATTTAACCAACCGTCTAATGATAACTGTTTTTGAGCTGTCTAGTTCTGACGGTCCCGGTCAAAAGCTATTGGTAAATTGTGAAACACGATCATTAGCCTAAGTGGCTCTACTGCGTACTGCAATATAATTTTGTTTTTTCACCAGGTTTTAGGTGTCATTGGACATGTACCCCTCCAAAAATGTTTTGTACCTTCTAATACTTGTTAACAATGAAGTATCTTCAGTAGTGAACAACCCAGTGTCCCTCCGAATTTAAAAGGTGCACCATTCGCTGCCGTTTACATATACTTTAATGGTGAATTAATGAGATCAATAGCAACCCTTGTAAAACTAGACAATTTATAAAAAGTAATCGCCAGATGTATGTTGTGAGTGTTGGTAAAAACCAATCACTGTTAAGTACATTAGTTTTCATTCTTTTAGTACTAAATGGAACCTGAAGCTTCAGCAGCTCATCTTTTAGCTGGTTTCAAGACTGCCCGCAAGACTTCATTTCCTATTCCCAAGATCTCTTGTTTGCCATCCTCAGACGCCCAACTTGATGCTTCCCATTCAGGCTTCATTCGATGGCCTGGTGCTTAGTGTCTTACAACTTTGTATGACATTATAGATATTTAGATTGAAGGAATATAGAATTATTTTCTGTATTTTAAAATAAAGTGATTCTCTGTTGTATTGATTTGCTAATCTCTTGGGTAATAAGTGCACTCATAACTTATCGCTGTTTGATTAACAGATGAGCATCATTGATATAAGAATAAAACTTGGGCACTGTGGTAGAGTGTAATTCCATTATGGGTAAATTTTATTTTGATAGAGTCTCACAGTGTTATACAGTAATATTTACTGATGACGTTTCGAGCACAATTTATTGCTCATAATCACATCAAGGTAATCACACGACTTCCTAAATTCATTTATATAGTTCCATTGTTTTTCACTTGATTTGATTGGTAGTATTATTTTCCATATTTCAGGTATGAGTGATGATTCATTCCTATTGCATGTGTTGGGTGTAGATTCGATGAACAAAGATTCAGTAATCAACCTCTCTCTCCACCTACCTAGATTACTTTTTAGAATTTTAACCCTCTCCCACCCTATTGTGTGGTTGTGTGCTAATGCATGCATTGCAATTGCTGAGCTTTTTTCTAAATTACTTATCTTCTCTGGGTCAACCATTCTTACCTTAGCTAAATTCTTATGTTCTGACAATCTGACTACCCCTGACCTACTAGTTTGACCTATGTAGTTGACCTCACAGTCATTGCAGGGTATTTTGTAAATTATATTATTTTGTCTAATTGGGTCCACTGGGTCCTTTAACCTACAGAGCTTGTCCCTGAGTGAGTTTGTAGGTTTAAATGCCAAATAAAGCAGGAATTAGGGTGGCATTTAAACCTACAAACTCACTCAGGGACAAGCTCTGTAGGTTAAAGGACCCAGTGGACCCAATTAGACAAAATAATATAATTTACAAAATACCCTGCAATGACTGTGAGGTCAACTACATAGGTCAAACTAGTAGGTCAGGGGTAGTCAGATTGTCAGAACATAAGAATTTAGCTAAGGTAAGAATGGTTGACCCAGAGAAGATAAGTAATTTAGAAAAAAGCTCAGCAATTGCAATGCATGCATTAGCACACAACCACACAATAGGGTGGGAGAGGGTTAAAATTCTAAAAAGTAATCTAGGTAGGTGGAGAGAGAGGTTGATTACTGAATCTTTGTTCATCGAATCTACACCCAACACGTGCAATAGGAATGATTCATCACTAATACCCGAAATATGGAAAATAACACTACCAATCAAATCAAGTGGAAATCAAGTGAAAAATAATGGAACTATATAAATGAATTTAGGAAGTCGTGTGATTACCTTGATGTGATTATGAGCAATAAATTGTGCTCGAAACGTCATCAGTAAATATTACTGTATAACACTGTGAGACTCTATCAAAATAAAATTTACCCATAATGGAATAACAGATGAGCAAACTAACATGGGATTACGCACCAGTTTAATAATCTCAGTTAGCCAAATCAACTTTCTAGAAACCTGATTCACGGAAACTAAATTTTAATCATCTGTATTAACTTTACCTACCTGACATCAGGTTTTTGTAAAAAGACTGACTAGACTGCCTTACCTACCACGCACGTGGCCCATGACTCATATGCTTGTCAAGAGTAACTATGACTCTCTTAAGGGTTATGGTTGCGCTGACAGGTACCTCCGCGTGGTTCCCGCTGGGTGGGGTGGTTTTCCGGCTGCCCTAGCTAAATCCTGTCAGGACGAGAGCGAACTATTTCTTGCCCTTGGGATTGCCGAACGCGGCTTTGTTCTGGTTGTAATCCTCTTTGGTGCTAAGGAGTCTTAGGGGGCACTGGGGCATTGACTGCGAACGGTAGCCTGGTCATGAAAACCGAGCGGGAAGGATGTTGGGGAGAGTCTCGTATCCCTATAACAAAGAGGCAGCTTGATTCGAACCTTCGGACGACCTGTGAGGGGATTATGTCCGAGACTAGTTTGCTCACGGATGGTGGCCTTTAAGGCTTCGTCGGACTGCGATCGGTCGTGGGTTTCCGCGGCTGGTTGTAGGTCTTTAAAACCGTCCAGCGAGGTCATATAGCGCAGGTAGGTGGCGCGACCTCCAGTTGCTCGGGCGCGCAAGCGTCAGGGTTCCGCCCATGATTTAGTGGGAGCAGAGCAGCCGTGGGAGTAACCGCCCGCGGTCCGGGGACCCAGTCTCTTAGACCAGACTAAACATTTTTGTACAACCGCCCCAAGAGGTGTATATGACTATTGTCTCTGTGCAGGAAGCATTTCGGACTTCTGGTGGTTCGGGATGTGGAATGTTTTTGTAGGCTAAGGTGAGGTGGGTAGGGGGACCTTCACAGAAAGTTCCTATTCATGCTTGTCTTGGTCGGCGGAGGGGAGCCACCGGTGAGAGGATCGTCAGCATTTTAGGTGCTCTTGCCGGCTTTATCTTGATTAAAAGAATTAAAGAATTGTCCCTGATCCGAGGATGATGGTTGTATGCTACCTGCAAGGTGGAAGTGCAATTATGTGACCAAATCATGAGAGTGGCCATGACCCGCTGAGGTGGGGCAGTACGTACCATCTGAGAAGCAGCCATGGTTTGGTTGAGACCGGACAGTGGGGGGTGGGAAAACACCTACCGCTGCGGGAGCGTTAATGGGGTGCCTGGCATGGGGTGCTCATTTTCATGCTTAAACGTCGCTCAGGTGTTGTCTACTCAACAGGGATACTGGCTCTGGGGGGGGGCAAAATGGGTTTCCGGGAATTAATAGTACCGCCAGCTCCTCCGGAGACCTTGTTGAAAATACGACGTAAAACGCTCAAAGATATAGTTTTTATTTTAATTGTTAGAAACAGTTATTAGAAGTTAAAGTAATAAAATAAAAGTAATCAAAAAATGCGAAAGTATCTTTTACATCCTGAAAAATTCTACAACTTTAATGAACTTAGATGAGACATCATAATGAGAATATGTTGGTTTACGATACATCAAGTTGTGTTACTGAATATTAATTCTTCTGTAAAGTGGGTGTAACCAATTGCTTAGTATATATGCATGAATTTAGTCGCCAAACTTCATTCACATATTTCAGTTCATTTTCCTCTACTCAGTGTTGTCTTTCTTAGCAGAAAAATAAGCAATGCACTATGGAAACTTTTATATACAAACAGGTTTTAAAACAATGATCTACTGTCCACAGATCATGTAATAAATATAATGTTACACCCGTGAAATTTAATACTTTTTGATGAAAGTTAAGGTATCTACAAAGAAAAATGTGTAAAATATAAGTATTTCTGAAGACTGTTCAACTGTGTAAGCAGTGGTTATTATTATAGTTGAATATACCTATAAAAGTTTCATGAAAATAATTTTATGTGGTTAACAACATTGTTACTATGACAACGCGGAAAGGATCAGATGTATGGATAATTTTAAACAGAATAAAATGTGCAGATATGATGTATTATACACGATGAAGAGTATTTTATACATTGAAACACTGAAATTGACAGTATAAGTTATCGGATAATGGTCATAAACCTAAGATAAAAAAACTATATTAACGACAGGCAAAGGATAAGGTAGTAATTTGTTCCACATATTTAGATAATGATGGGAAGGTGAATAATTTAATTTTATTGTCACTTTATAGCTTAGAATGTGTTTTTTACATTACTGGTAGAAATAAAATATAATTTTTATGACAGGCTAAATGATATTTTTACAATTAATTCAAGAATTGTGGTATTCATCCTACTGAGTATCGATTAGGTACACCCACAACATGATGATGATTTAATGTTTGATACCTATGGTTATGATACATCTACCCACAATTTATACTTTATTAGATCTATGTGAAAGCTGATATTAAGACTTTGAAGTAGACTGATAATATCATACTTAGAGTTTTCGTTGGTTGATGCATTTACCAAATTTTCAAATAAATAGCGAAAATTCAACACTTAAACTGACAAAGAAACAGAATTAAGTCCATTGTTGATTGTAGTAGACATAAATACCATCAGCCAAGTTAGATTTGAGTGAGTTAATGTGTTTGACCAACAAAATATATGAATTGGTTGTAACGGCTAACTGCTATGGTCAGTCACTAGTGTACTATAATGTTATATGTTGTTACCTTATTTTTAATCAATTTTATGGCTGTTTATGAATGAAAATATATGGCAAATTGAACCACTAACTCACCCATAACTTCTGTTTATCGTTGAGTAATTTAACTGCTTCATCAGATTCTATCTCTCTGACATCTTTTTGGATAGATAGTCCACTATCTAAAAATTGTAAATGTGTATACAGTTAATGGTCTTTTTCACATATATATATTATGTCTAAGTATAACGATAAAATTCACACTTTCAGGTAAATAATAAGTGGAAAGTGAAAACAGTATTGAACGCCTTTTTATTTTACTTATGACTTCAAAAATAAATGATGTCTATTTCTTTGTTGACTGCAAGCTGAAAATTCAAGGTTTTGTGATCGAAAATTCACCTCGAAGAGCTATACCGAGCTGGTGGTTGAGAAATTCAGCTGTGTATAGCATGTGGAAAATAATCACCAGTATACACAGTATTATTTCAATTAGGTGATACTTTTTCTAGGATAAATAAAAATGCTCACTGGAGGCTGGAACTATTCAGGTAGGTAGCTAACTGGGGTTCCAGTGGGCTGTCGTGACCAGTAGGGTGCACCAGGTCCGGTTTGAACACAAATACTCGCCACAGGTGAAATTGGTTAGCGGTCCCACCATGTCGTGAATTGGAAAAAGTTGGAATTCATGCACTAATCATTGGATTGGGTCCCAGTGGCTTAATGGTCTACCAGCTAGCTCGACTTGTAACCAGAAGGTCGTGGTTCGAACCCCCCGTGGTGGATGTGTGCTAATGAACAGTCCCAAACTAGGACAGAGGAAACAGATGTTCAGTAATCCCTAGTGGTTTTCCAATGGCTCTGTAACCGATGTCAGCTCATGATGATATCTTGTAACCAATAAAAATTTTAGCCTGAAAAAAGAACAGTTCACTTTTGAAGGAAAGCATAAATTGCTACTTCTCTTTTTTTCGTGATGTTTTCCTGGAAGTGTACTCTAAGATTAATATAGGTATTCACCTTTGTTTATCAGACATGAATACCTTAAATTCGCATCGTCTTTATTTGATCTAAGGAGAGTTTACCAACTTTAGGTGAGAATAAGTACAGAGGATACTTAAAGAAGAATACTAAAAATGCAATTGGTGAATTTTCAATTCCCTCAATAAACAGCTGATCTTTGTATATTTAAAGTTTTAAAAATTGTTGGATTTTATGTTTTGAGGGTTACGTCATCTTCTAGAGCATCTGATCCGATTAAGAATTTCTTCATGATTGGTTATTCCTCGAATAACTTATTTGGGAAATGTATAAATAGTTTGAAGATAAACTTCACTAGTCATCGGTCAGAACTGTCACAGATATATTAGACTCTGGAATTTATCGATTTCTATTGTTGCCGTCTATCAGCCTATTCTCTTGAGTAACCATGTATTTATCATATTTTCAAAATCTGGTCATCTGATGGCTAGTGTTCATTGTTAGCAAATCCTTCACTTTCGCATACTTTACCGCATACATTCTAAAATCTGAAACAGAGATTTTACTCAGAGTCCAGCAATAGGGATCTCGTGATATTCACTTGTTCATCAGTGGGTTCTGACAATAAACAATGGAATTTCACTTACGTTTTTCGATTGTTTTATGTTTTAGTTTTTAAGTTTATATGTATATATATGTACAGTATTTTTCAGAAACAGAGTTGCTGATAGGTTTTGTTTTAACTGATGGTGATTAACAGTGGAACTCAAGATGTGCAGTTCATCCTACTTGGGACTCGTCAGCTGGATTTATCTGAATCCGCAGTGTGATTATTTTCCCACCAAGACTCAAACCAAGGTTTCGCACGCCAAAGCGTTATCCATTAGGTCACCGAATAATGCTGAATAACATCATGTTAATGTTTAGATATCGTCAAACCATCCGTACTATCAGTGGGCATGTCAACAGAAAATGAGCTCCTCAGTCCAACATGCATATTAACTTAAATAGTGAATCCAAGTGTGTTTCACGGGGAAAAGATATGTCCTAAAATTGGGTGTGATAACAGCTTGTGATCTGTTAGGACATTAAAGTATTAAAGTTTTCCTTTCACTTCATGTATCTAAAATCTTTTTCCTAATCATTTAATTATAAAAAGCACTTTTTAGCTTAGAAATAGTTGCCTTCATTTCTAATTAAGAGATTTTTCTTTGAATTCCCATTTGAAATCATAATTCTAATACTTAGAGAATATTTTCAAATTTATGAAAAGTTTTTTCTATTATAGTTGGGTAAAAAAACTCAGTTCGTATGAAATTAGTAAGATTTATCTGGAATTTACTTGTCATCTACAAAAACTGGTAACACTAACTACATCCAACAGTGACAAATGTTTGGGTCTACGTAAAAAGTAAAAAGAACCATAGAGTGCAATATCTTCAATATTTTCCTTAAGTCCAAATGAATAAAAACAACAAGCAGTGAGTAATTTCAAGGAACCAGCTACATCAAATCCAACTTTATAGTGTTTAATCTCAAAGGTTTTTATTCCTTCACGTTCCCAGTGGAACATAGGGTTTGAAGTTTCGGTAGCAGTGGTACTTCCAACCTTCCCTCTTCACCGTCTTATTACCGGCTTAGCGAGGTAAAGGAGTACGTCTGCCGGTGGTCGAACCCTGGACCACCTGTGTGATTGGCGAACATTCTACAGCTGTGCCACTGATGCAATGATGGCTTCGGAGGTTTAGTTTAGACTGAAGAAATTTACTGGTTTACATGAACTGTTATAAAATGTTGGTATGCATTTGAGACACAAAAATCAGCTCACTAGGAAGCTCCTGGACTCCCTGTATTTATAATATAAACGGATTAAATTTCACTTTCAATAAATAATCAAATAAATAACATCATAAATATCTAGAACCAACTGATTCCAGGAAAATTAAATAAGGAAAATGAGTTAACTACCTCCACTTCTATAAGTTTTCAATGTACTACATTCTGGCTGTTCAGATCTTGTTTTGTCGATTTGATCACTTGCACATGACACACACGTGGCAATATCATCCTCGGATTCATGTACATGAAAAGCTTTGACAACTGATTTAATCGATTTATATTCTTTAGAAGTTCGTCTAAACTTATGATCAACTGTTGTAGAAGCTGGTTTAATGTCTTCCACTTTCCACTGTTTACGAAGACATTCAGGATAACTTTCAAACATGTTGTAAAGGCTATCATTTGCATCATATAACTTTTTGTTGATATCTCTTAAAGGCAAGAAATAAAGATATTCAATGATAAAGTCTAGTGTTAGTATAAAAAGAGTTTTAAATATAATTTATGTTAGCATTATGAATTCAACGTACTTATTAAACCTGCAAAATAATAAAAATTTATTCTATTGCAAATGTACATGACCGATTAACTTTTGGTTTCATGTTTGTGTACACCATTCGTAAGGGTGTACTTAGGCAGTGTCGTAAATGAACCGTAACATTTTGGTAGGAATTTAAGCTTTTTTCAGTCGTTAGGTTTAATGAAACGTAAGGTAATGCAGTTTGAAAATGAAAGCAAAATACACTTTTCAGTGTAGAGAAAAAATCCGCATTTAGACATTTAGAAAGTCAAATGATTGAGGGAAGAAATATCTACTTTTCTATTAGATCATCGTCTTTGGATTTACTCCGATATATGTAAATGGCATTGCAATACAAAAGACAACATTTTATCAATCAAGTGGTGATATGTTTGTTAACAATAATTAGTCAGTATCAACATGTCGGGGCGCGGGTGATAATTAACGAAGAAAATTCATACACGCAATTAAAGGGTCGAAATGGTTACAACAAGTGGATTGCGTAATGCATAATTTTGGGAAAATGAAGAGTACTTAAGGAATAAGTGAGTGTTCAAGTTGATTACATATCAGAAAATAAAAGAGAAATAAAACTATGTTTGGACAATGATAACTTGTAATTAAAGATGAAGTAGTTAGATAAATTATAAAATAATTTGAACAACTGTAATTTTTAAAAGGCTTAGTTGGAGGGCGAAGCAGGCAGGTTTATACATTCGTGTAACGATGGCTAAAGTAAGGAAATTGTCTGTATGAATTTCTTCTGAACACACAGGGTTGACTTCATCGTATTGGTTCCGATGATTTCAGCTGTATGTAAAAGACGAACTCGTAAAGCAAAATTAAGATTATTTGGCATGTGATGAATAACTTTATATGGTGTAATCACATCAACTTTCATACATTTATTCCCCTTAATGAATTTGAATAAAGCAAGAACAACAGCTTTTGCAGAATAAAATGGTACCATCATTTATTTCGTTGGCTTCTCATCAGCTGCTTACAGCTCAAAGACATTATTAAGTTTATCTACAGAAACATTCTTAACATACTTGCACAGAGTTCATTTTTCAACAAAAAATCAGTCAGTCAAAATATGCATGCAATGCTAATTAATAATAAACACTTTATCCCAAACAATAATAATCACACAGAATGGAATCTTTTGGCGTTACGTAATCAGATGAAAACATCCAGTCACCAGAACAAAGGAAGACTGATAACTGCTTCTTTCTGAACTCATAAATCGGGTTTCAGGTGCTTGGTGGAGATTGCTTCGGCAAACTTAAGGAGAATTGAACTCTTTCGCCTATTGATAATTTTGAACGATCTTGTGACGTCCACCTCATGACCCTTGTCAAGGAGGTGCCTAGCAATGGCAGTGTTGAAAGCATTTGTTCCTTTGAAACATAGGCTTTTTGGTATATGTCCAGAAAATTGTAGATATGCCCTTCTTTCTGTTCTTCCAATGTAACTGCTGTCGCAGATACAACTTTATGCTCACTATCTACCAGGTGTACTGAAACAGAGCTACGAATGGATCGTGTCTGTCCCTTACTTAACTATGCAGGATGGTGTTTGGAAATGCGATAATGAATCTGTCCAAAATTATGCATTACGCAATCCACTTGTTGTAACCATTTCGACCCTTTAATTGCGTGTATGAATTTTCTTCGTTAATTATAACCTGAACCCTGACATGTTGATACTGACTAATTATTGTTAACAAACATATCGGCACTTGTTTGGTAAGATGTTGTCTTTTGTATTGCAATGCTATATATGTATACTGGAGTAGAGCCAGAGATGAGGATCTAATTGTGCAGTAAATATTTCTTTGCTTAATCCTTGAGCTTGCTAACTATATTTTTGTAGAAAACAACTTCAGGGTTAGAGAGTATGTCGCACAATCACCCACTGGAATATAGATAAGCTTAAGTGTGGATTTGTATAAATAGGAAACTTACGTGCAATTTTAAGATGCATAAAGTTGAAATGGTACTACTGAGAAATACATGAGCAAGATTTCTTCATGAAACTTGAAATTCTAAATGAAATAGTCTTTTTCATTTTGAAGATAAATGAAACGATATCTTTGGGTGCAAACCAATACACATCACATGCCGATACTGTCTTAATTTTTGCAGTAGTAAGGGCTTGATTAAAATCTTTGCGAAAAAAATTTGCCTCATAAGGAAGTGCTTTGCAAACGACTATTTTTAAACGATAAGAAATGTATTTCTGTTAATTTCCCTATATTCAGTGACTGATTTATTAGAATCCAAAAGCTGAAGGCATCAATATACAATACTTTATTTGATATAATCACATCTTAGAAGGTATATTTTGCTTTCTTTTCATGAAAACAAGACAAATTAATAAAAATCTTATTACTACATCCTATAAATACCCATAGAAGTGAGGTGGGATTCCTTAGTCTTCTTAAGTGATATTCAACAGATTACGCCGTCTCTGGCGTAGACGCGATATCCGACTATCGACCAAAGGGCGTGTGTACTTTTCAACAGTCCGCTCCGTTCTCCTTTATGGATGTGAGACCTGGCCATTGAGAGCAGAAGACATGAAAAGATTATCTGTGTTCGATCATAGATGTCTGCGTTCTATCTCCCGCGTGAAGTGGTATAATAAGGTGAGCAATATTGAGGTTAGGCGTCGAGTGCTAGGTAAGGCGGGGAAATCAATCGACAAAACTGTGAAATTACATTGACTGAGATGGTTAGGACATGTGCTACGTATGCCTAGTCATCGCCTTCCTCGACGGGCAATGTTAGCTGATATAGGGTCAGGCTGGAAAAGAGCTAGCGGCGGTCAAACGAAAACTTGGCACCAGTCAATGAAATCCGCGACAGTTAGTCTAAGCCACGTAGGAGGGTGTAGACTTCCTGGTTGGGACGGTAAAAACCAATGGTTGGAAACAATTGGTGACATGGCTCAAAATCGCTCTCAGTGGCGCAGATGCATCCACTCCTTGTGACTTATGATTTCCAATTAAACTGTTTTGTTCTCCGTTATTACTATTCCTTTGTCTCACACCTCTGTTTACTGTCTCTAATATGCATTTCTCCTACTTTCTTCTCTTGGTTTGTGTGCTACATGGAGTGTGGCGACTTGAACTGCCGCACATATGTGCAAGGTTCTATGTCGAAAACCCACCGATTTTCTTATATAACTAAGGTCTGTGTTTCCGAAAAGACAAGCTGTAAAGTTTATAAAACTTGTATCAGACTATAGTGAACCTAACAAAAATATAGATAAACTAATGGGCTGTTGACGTTATGTTATGTACTATTTCTAATTTAGGCATACTTAAAAGATTTTCTGTCTGTATCCAGCAGACTAGGCATTAAAAAACCATCCATTCGTGAACTTAAAATTTGAACTCTTATGAATTTTTTTACGAAGTAGAGAGAAATTTGAAGGACATAAAGTGTGGTATGCTGAGAAAATTGTTTCTAGTCGATTAATCTATTGGATATAAATGACAGACTTACTGCAATATTCCCACTTGACGCTTTAGTGTTGAGTTTTCTTTGACTGTCTCAATTAGCGCAGACATATGACTAAAAAATAGTAGAATAACAAAAGTCGGTGTTTTGAATCTTTATAATGAATGATGAAAGTTTCGTGCGAAATGAAAACGTTTTTCACACTGAATTTAGCGCTTTAGTTAAAAGGCTTTCAAGTATTGGTTTGTAGGGATTTGATTGATTGGTTACAAGATTTCATTATGAGCTGACATCGGTTAGAGAACCATTAGAAAACCACTAGGGAGTACTGGACAGCTGTTTCCCCCATGCTAGTTTGGGACTCTTCATCACTACACACCCACCGGGGTTCGAACCCATGACCTTCTGGTTACAAGGCGAGCTAGCTGGTAGACCATCAAGCCACTGGGACCCAATCCAATGGTTAGTGCATGAATTTCAACTTCTGCCAATTCACGACATAGCGCAACCACTAACCAATTTCATCTGTGGTGAGTATTTGTCTTCACGCCGAACCTGGTGTGCCCTACTGGTCACGAAAACCCACTGGAACCCGAGTTAGCTACCTACCTGAATTGGACAGTCGATGGTGAGGATCTCATCGATGTTCAAGTATTGGTTTGTAGGGATTTGATTGAATGTGATTAGTTTGTCAAATGAAAGCCTTTCATTTGACAAACTAATCACATTCTAGTTATTGTTCACACATACAACGATAGCCTAAACATTGAAGAGCTATTTTTGCATAGTTGTAACCAATAGTGAAGTCAGTTCAATAGTATTTTATTTTATTGACAAAATGTGTAGTTGTTGAACCACACGTCTGTCTTGTCGATAAAGGCAGGTAGATTTATATGACTTGTAGTTTCTAATTGGCTCTTCTGAGAAGTACTGTTTTACACAAAAAGAATCAGTCTTCAGATATGATAACCATTTTTACTGTTCACATTCTGTCAATGATAAGAATCGGTTTTTAATTACCCTTGTTATTAAGGTGTTTGTTTAAGGATTTAACTGATTTGAAGATTAATCAAAATCTGACTCCATTTAAGGAGATATTGAAAAAGTTGGTGGGTAGGAATTTAATCAAATAAAGCATTCTGTTTTTACCAGTCAAATCTCGAGTCGAAGTGGAAACACTAAGAGTGAACCGTAATTTTTCAATATTAAAATGAAAATGTACTAGAAAATGGGTAAAAGTTACATTAGTCGCTTCTGAACAAATACGCATTCGTATGATTTCAAATGGCGGGATGATAAGCTTATGTTTATTTAAGAATGTGACATAACTATTCGTTTATCTTTTAAAGTATATAGAAAGAAAATGTATGAAATGAAAAAGAGAAAAGTGAGACAAATGACCCTTGCCGAGCTTTGCTGTTTTATGATATCATATAGTTGGAGGCAATCGGCAGGAAGCCTTGGATCTAGGTTTCGTGCTAGTTGGCACTCACCATGATGGCGAGCTACCTAGAATGGTAGCCACATTGCAAATACCTGACTGATGGAATTCAGTCTGCACCAAAGAATGGACTAGACACGTCACACTAGTTACTAGTGTCCAATCAAAATATGCTGTTTTATTTCAGTTTAACGATGATGCAAGCTCAAATCTCATACAGGGAGTTTCCTCAAGTATACAAGTATAGTTTGACGGTAAGTACCAGCTAGTCCAAGACCTAATTTGATCATTTCCCAACATCGTGTGAGAAAATAAGAAACCGCTTGAAACTTTATAACACAAAATCACATTTTACTGTAACCACTATTAAACCTCAATGTAGTGGTTTTCATAAACAGGACAAGTCACAGCCATGGAGTTTCAATTTAAATCCAAGTTAAGGTCATTAGTTAGTGCTTATAGTGGCGTTTAATTTTTCTCTTCAGAGGTTAGGTCACACTTGATTACTTATTTTTTCCAGTTCTCTTACTTGCTTATTCACATTGAAACATTTAGCTAGGTAGGTGTAAAAGAATGCACTGAATTCTTTTGTAGTTAATTTTCCCCCTGACTCATCCAAGCTTTATTATATTCACATGAAACTGATTTTAGCTGCATTGCAAATTCTTGTTTGTAATAAGGATTAAATCTTCGTAATGAAATTAAGTCACCTCATTATTCTCATAGTATTTCTGTAATATAAGAAAGCATCTCAGAGGTGAAATTATGAATGCGCCATGACAATGAATGAAATTTCGTAAGTACTGCTTATCTGTTCGTATGTATTTAAGTTTGGCCATTAGACGTAGTCTATCTACTTGTTGACAGGCTGAGCAAAAGCATTCAGTAGTCTGTCGAAGAAGCAAATTGTAAACTAAGAGTTTGTCATTACCTGCATACATTTTTACTCTTTTGTTTCTAATTCATATTTTATTATAGATAAGTTGATAAACTATCATCATAACTTCTAAAAAGAAGAATATCATTTTGTCATACTATGGTGAGAGATGGTTGCTAGCCAAATTGGTTGACAGTAATTGAGGTCAGTGTTCATGTCTCAAATATTAGTCATGTGAAAACAAGGTCAAAGATGGACAGCAGACTTTGCGTAGGCGTATACAGTTAACATATAGATGAACTGACACGGCCACAAAGAGATGCAAGGTTAACTTTGTGTGAGAAACAACCAATCAAAAGACTGTATTTTCTACTAACATTAATCTACAATAATGTACATCAAAATCTATAAATATGTTTTACGACTTGATCACGGACTGATATCAGTTAGAGAACCATTGAAAACCAGGGAGTACTGGACAGCTGCTGTTTCATCCTAGTTTGCAATAATGTACATCAAAATCTATAGATATGTGTTGATTTTCTTTAATAGACGATCTGTTGCCTGACTCTTGCCTTCTGTCGTTACAGTACAACGATAACTTTACGAAGGTTTACTAATATAAAGTTAAGTCACTGTCATGAAATCGTCCATCGTCAGTTAGTATAGTGGTTCATGAATGTATTGATCTGTGGGTATGTTTTTGATGTGGGTGCAGTTTAAGAACTTTAACTTAGATTATATAACCGTCTTTATGTCGGTGGTTCAATAGTAGAATAGTCGCCAAGCATGCAGTTGGTCCGAGTTTCATTTACCGGCTGGCTCATAAGTTTGCCTCCGTTGACCGTTATAAAACCGAAAAAGAGAGAAGGTTGGGAGTGAGGCTAGGAACTCTACCCAGTAAAAGAAACAACGCTGCCACCGAAACTTTAAAGCCGAAGCTGGAAGCCCTTATGTTCCACTGGGGACAAAAAGGAGTGAAAGAAATATAACTGTCCAAGTCACCTGAGTACAGTCATATGACTTGGATGGAATAATGGATTTCGCACAGAGTTAAATGATTTTTGCGCTCTGAAAACACAAACTGTACGTACAGGTGTTTATTTTGTAGCCTTGGTGGTTGACAGACTGGGATGAAAACCCTACTGACGTTAGTCATGAAACGTGAATATAACAGCACGAAGAGATTGATAACTGTTAATAGATATATGAACAAGAAAATGCTTGAGACCGCACAGCCTCATGTGACTTGAACTTATTATTTAAACCTGTATATTCGGAAAGGCATAAGGGTTACTCTACATTTGCTCTACATTTGATGTAGAATCTGTTGACTATTAATTGTTCATTTTTTTGCTTTTGTTTCCATCATTGTATTTATCATTTAATCATGCTTACTCCCATGGACTTGGATTTTTACCGAACAAATGCTCTGTTGTAATTACTATCCTTACAGAGGTAATTTCGACGTATTTGAATGGGACAAACTGTGAACATGAGAAAAATCATTTGTAACTTACTGTTCCAACTCTTGAGTTTTATCATTTAAACTTTGTCGGACTGCATTAAACTCTGATCGTGACTGTGCTAACTGTAATCGTGTATTGTCCAGATCTTCTTCTAGATTGTAGTTTTCTTGATTTACTTGTAAAATTTTTGTCTGTAATTTAATTATTCGTGAATCATCTAGTTCATTGTTCTTCAATACAATAGTTTGATTTTGAGTTTCCCTCTGATGGATTTCTTGCTAATACAATAAGTGTCAGAGTACATGAATATTACTGTTATTTATTGAAAAATTAATTACTGAATTAACAGTGGTCTGAAATTAAAAAAACTTGGCAACAAGATGAATTCATGGATGAATAGTTTTCAGGCGTTTACCTCATCTACGCCTTCATTATCTGGCGTATTACATAAGTTGCGATTACTTTTGCCTGTAAAGGAATCAAAAAGTAAGCATGTTGAGTTTTCATTTCAGAAAATTTAACACTAAGATGACAATTCGACAATGCTGGTTTCAAGATTAGGAATGTTGATGATATCAGTGAATTAGTAACTCTTATCAAATAGGTGTTATTTCATTTAGGGTTGTCATCATTTCTGAGATTTTGTAGACTGGTTTAAGTTATCACAATGAGGCTTTGTTACAGGATTTCATCATGAGCTCACATTGGTTAGAGGATCATTGGAAAACCTAGGAGTACTGGGTAGCTGTTTCGCCCTAATTTGGGACTCTTCCTCAGCACGCATCCACCTGGTTTCGAACCATGGACCTTTTGGTTACAAACCAATACTTGACTGAGGCTTTGTATTTTACTTTCTAATCAGTTGAATGCCTTGATCAGTGTTAATTATTATTTCCAAACAAATCTATTTTTTCTTGTTTTTGTTTTTATTTATCTTTAATCTTACGAAGTTTTTACGGTTAGCACAGTATAGGAGGTTATAAAAATCCACCTCAGTCGATCAGTTGACCGTTGCTTTCAGACATCTTATTATATGCAATAGAAGTAGAATGCGTTTCAGTGATCTGATTAAATCATTGGCCTATCTAAATTTTCTGTCTTTCAATATGTATCGTTTTTACCCCGTTTCAAATTGTTTTAACTCTCTAACTATCCAAATGAGTTACAATCTGTGCTCACATACAGTTTCAAATAAGTTTCTACCTACTGTCAGGAGTTTTCCCCAGGAAAGTGGAGAAAGAACAGTGTAGAGTAGCGTTGGAGTGTAGTTTGGATGGAACAGTATTTCTTCAGATGATATATTCTAGACTATTATATCATATGAAGATCCTGAACAAGGGGTAAATACCCCACAATGAAACTTTCTGGGAATTCTCTACTGTGTATGGACACATTTTTCTTTAGAATAAGGCTATTATTATTTGTTTTAAAACTAAAAACAGTAGATAAATAGAACAAGAATGATTAAGGAGGGCCAAAAATTTCAACTGACCTCTTCAAGATGTTTGATTTTTGATTTGAGCTGTTTTATTTGTAGCGATTTCGTTTCGAGTTCAGTAGAGAATTTTATCATCGCTGATTCTCTTTCCTTAAGTCGTGCTGCTTCTTCAGCCAATTTTACTTGATTATCTAGTTCTTCAGATAGACGAAATATTGCTTCGCTGTGCTTAACACGTTCACTAAATTGTGAGAAAATAGTAACATAGAAGAAATAATTTACATGAAACGAAATTATTTCATTTCAGTGTTTCTGAATAAAAAAGTTACATAAATGGTTAATGGTTACTTTAAAGCAGACTGTTCACAATGGCTTATACGCAAGCCACGTAACTGAAAAAAGTAAACAAAGTTTTCTTATGGTCCATAGTATTAAAACATTCTACATTATTATTATCACTGTAGAACATGGTAAAGTGGACTACCTCATGAGATCTAGGAAGACAGCCATACTTTCGACAGACCGAAATACGCTGGAACATCTGGATTTCGTAGAGGATTTGAATCTCATATCCCACAACTTGAAGAACAACAATCGAAAACCGGTAGATTACCATATGAAACAGCGAAAACACGACATCTGGTGGATACAAAGGTGATAAAGATACCATACCGACGATAAACACAAACCACCGTCAACAGGAGAAATCTAAAGAAAGTCATTACTTTCATTTACCCTGTTTACGCATCATACTTCCAACTACAGGCAACACAGATGAGGATGTTAAAGCCAACCATGGTTGAATCAAGATAACAGTACAGGTGTTCATCCCATTGAAATCAATATTGACATCCACAGAGCCTATAACACACAATTAAATCTGAATTTTCAAGACTAATGTCAAGACAGTGGTTCTGTATGGTTTAGGGTCTTTGTCAGCGAGCCATAGAAGTCATTTTCAACAGTCTACTACAAACTTTCATCAAGAGATGTCTTCATTGGCTCCATATGGAATATGAAATGGCCGGTCGGAAAGGATAAGCAATATGGAACTCTGGCAGTACAGCACACTAATCAAGAACCTGTTGCCCGAAAAATATACAGGATGAAATAGGGATCGATTCAACATAACCTGAAGTGACATTTAAATGATATCTCACAACACTTAGGTAGCCGAATGGAATCCGATTAAGAGACGACGAGTTAAACATGGGTCAGATGGCGACATGTAGGAGACCATATGAGTAGAAAAAAAGCTGGTTGGTTGTTAGGAGGCCATTTTAATGTAGTTACAGAGAACCTAGTGGGCTGGAGATTAGCTACTGAAGCCCTTTGTTCCACTTGGTACGAGAGGAATAAAAATAATTATAATGCATGTATGAAAGAGTTTATCGATCAGGGTCTTCTGTAGCACGATTACTTTTGGTTATAAATGCAAATTTGCTTCACTTGTCTACAATCATATAAGGTGAAAGAGGGAAACAGAGATTAAAATTCTATCTATGTTAAGCTCGTTTACAGTTCTCATCTCTACTACTATTTATTATTTTGAGTTAATCTTCTACTAACAGTCATGCCTGTATAAACGATTTATACAGCTTCAAAAGTACATCTCTTTTAATCTTATCTTTGATCTAATTACTTACTAAAACTACTGAAAACTGAATACCTCGATTTGTTTTAATCCCTATTTCTAAGAAGTCATTGTTTGTCGTTTATTTGTAAAGCATAAATAGAAAAATATTATCACTTGTTTGAGTTCACTTGGCCAAGGACATGAGCTAATATATTATAGATGGATATTATGATACTCTGTGTATTAGCCTGGAATAGAGTAAAGTTTATTTGATATCAGTACCTATAGGATTATTTGTTTTTATATGTCTTGGTGATTAGTTAAGGTTATTATCACCTTTGAACTTAATTTTCTTACTAATGCTTTCACTTTAATGGACAGTTAGTTGTTTCTTATTATATCTAATTAGTTTATAACCTAGTGATAAAATAATATTTATGCATCGTAATGTAGAATATATCAAAATGTCCATTTCACAGATAATCGGTCACATTAATATTATTATTCCTTTGAGTTCCGGGTGGAGCATAGGGCTTCAACAACGCATCTCCAGTTTGTTATATTTTCTGCTATCCTTTTCAGCTGCGTTCACGATTGCCTATAACCTCTCATCTCCTCCTCCAACTCGCATGATATCCTCCATGTTACCGACGACAGACTCGTCGCTACCCATTCACCTACCACTCGAGCGATAGTCTGCACTGAGCGCGATATCATTTGATTGCCTCCTCAACGTATGCCTGATCCATCTCCATTTTCTTCTGCATATTTGTTGAGCAATCGGTTTTTCATTGGTATGCTGCCACAGATTCCTGTTGCTTACACTTTCTGGCTGGCCGGCCGTTTTATCTTCAGTACAGAGCCAACGAATTTGACAGCTGTTGTTAAAAGTTTGTAACTTGTTGCAAAATCCTCTTCGGGGAACACAGTTTAACTTTCTGACCAGTATAGAAGTGGCTGACATCATATTTGTGTTGAAAATGCGAATCTTATTCTTTATGCTAAGTTAGTGCAGAAGATTTCTAAAATGGTTTCAAGTTGATCAAAGTGTATCTTGCATTTCCGATTCTGGATGGCTTTGACATCCTCATCCGTTCCATCTGTAGTTGAAACGATGCTTCCTAGATGAGTGAAGGAAGTTATCCCTGTGAAATCTCTCCCTTTGACAGGGATTGGTGCTGTTTGTTGTGTTTGCTGTTGGATGGCTATTTTCATCACCTCCATCTTCTTTATGTTCACTCGGAGTCCTCTCTTCCCTGCCACCTAATTCAGCCAGTTTGTTGGTCTTCGCCTGTTAGTCATAGTGAAGTAGAAATTTTCGTCAAAAGTATACAAAAACTCCGTTTTACGCTTATATCACACTTAACGTGGAAATTCATGGCTTTAATCAAAGAGAAACTTCGAAATTTCATTGTTTCGGAAATATTATTTTCAACTGACAGAAAACCCGATAATATTTGTTAACGAGGTGTTTCAGTGAGATGGTAAAACTGCTGAGAAATTGCAAAAACTATTGAAATATTAAATTTTTTATTTTTCCAAAAGACTACAGGGCTCAGTCTCTTCAACACAAAATAATATTGAATGAAGAGGAAACTAAATACGATGTCTTTTACCTTTCAATCTGTTTTTCTAATCGCAGCTGAATTTCGCGCGTTCTTTGAATATAACAAACAACATCCACTAGTACAGTTTCATACATTCTAGATAAACTTGGATTTTCTGATAACAGTATATGATACAGTTCATAAAGATGATCTTGACTACAACAGAAAATGTAAAAAAGAGGGAGGATTATTCGTCTTTAGAAATGTCTTGGTACAAGTAAACAGAATTTATACGAATAAAATACAACGAGTTATTGAAGAAAACACCGAGCGTTTATAATTCATATACATCCATCATGTTCAGTTGAGGTACAAACATTTTTCTTGACTTCAAATGGATTCTTTTAACCTTATTTTGGGATAAATGGGCCTTTCTTATATTTATTAAATACTCTTCATCTGTTTTAGCATAAATCGGAAGTTCAAAAATACTAGCATACATGAAAGTCGTCATTAACATAGAATAAAAATATGCAACAGTATATCAGATAGACGACAAAGTTAAATATGAACAAATATATGTCTGTATATAATAGCAACAATAACTTTATTATGCACAATAAGTTTACACAATATGCACAATTTTCAGCCTAGTTTATTGCATAGTATTTACTCTTCATCACGGAGTTTCAAGTACAAACAGCCATCTCCAGTACATCATGTGACGCAGTGTGATGTTAGATCTGAAGAATAAAATAATCCAACATGGTATTTTTCTTTAGTGTCACAGAAATGCTCAACGATAGGCTGCAAACCAATTAAAAATGTTCACGAGTACATCTGAACACTCACAGATATAACTGAACGATTATAAGAACAGTAACTAAATAAAACAAGATTCATTGTCTAGGATGGAAATTGAGATAGCCCAGAGATTCAAGCAGGCCACCAATATATATTATATGTGTATATATATGAATGATAAACACTGATGTTTAACATGATGTGACAATGCAACAGGTTTTCAGTGGTGTTTTACTGTTGTTTTTATGCGCATTTACTGATGCCCACGTTTTGGTTTCGTCTTCAATGCCCCATTAATTAGTAGTGCGCTCATAAATGCACTTATCCTGGAGGCGGAGTGTACAAAAATGAACAAATCTGAACATATAATTCAAAGTCACCAATACTTTTCCACAGAAGTAGAAAAAAGACTTACAGCTGTAAGACTATAAAGTTTGTTGTAGAATACAAATGATATTATATTATTTTTGTATTGTGATAAAGCAGTAAATGATGTTTAACTTTTGCCCAAGAATAACTCTGTAGACTAGCTCTATAGTTTAAACGTAGTCCATTGAACTTAGTGCATTTTAACTGATAATAACTTCACCATTAATGCAATAAAATCAATCTTAACTGAAAAAAGCAGCATCATTTGATCAACTCCCAGAGATGGCCTCCACAATGTCATCCCAAAATCTTCTCTGTTTGATTAACCATTCAATAAAATGTGTTATCTTTGCAGAATCATATAACTTTTTCATCATTTAAACAAAATGTTTTTAAAATGAAACTATCCTTCAAATCTTTGGGGGATTCTCAAATTTTGATGTCACTTAATTAGATGTGTACTTATTCGTCTAATATCTAGAAACTAAATCAAGGTTTTTTTAACAGTGTTTATGAAATCTTAAACACATTCAGGCAGTTAATGAAGAGTGAATATTTGTCATGTGATATGTGATGGCGAAAATTCAAATGCGTGAACTGTTAATAAGATAGGTAACCTGAGCTGTATCATGAAATAGTGTTACGCAAAATATGTGTGGTCACTTTGTATCAAATGTACTTGTAATCTGACGGATGTGTCGTTTGGGAATATCATACAAATACATTTGTACAAGACTTCAGTGACATATAAAATCTATTTTCTTTTTTTTTAAAGTTTCATAAAACAACGAAATGCTTGTAGTACTAAAAATGTTGAGCATTTTATGCATAGTAATGTAATGGATTAAATTTTCACATCTATTTTAGTAATAATACGCATATGATACAAACTTTCTGAAAGTAAGAAAAGAATACATTCTGTTTAATGGCACAGAAAGTGAAAGAATAAACCATAAGATTCATCAGCTAGCTTGTCATGATAAAGGAGGTTTTTAAATTATGATTACATACTTAAAAGCCACAACTTTTCTCGGCTCTAAGTATTTCATTTTACATATGTCTTGCAAAAAACGCAAATGTTTCGACGACACACACATATCCTAGTAAAGTTTTTGAGTAGTAATTATAAAATTGTAATTTATCTATTTGAAATATTTCCAACTTTATGTAATATATGAATAGTAATGAGATTATAAATTTTAAGAATCCTAACTTCGAAATATGTTATCCAATACAATCAAAGCAATTAGTGTGACACGAAAATATACCCTTATGGTTTTTCCAATCTGAAAAAATGAACAGAATCAGTGTGATAAAAAAAATGTTAATTTGTAATAATGTTCAGATATAACATATGTTCAAAAGTTCAGCCTACACTTCCTGTTGCTGTAGTGTTGATAATACAAATAGGGCAATGATTTTCAAAAATTAATGCAACCCTTAATATATTTCATAAATAAGTTATACATTTTACAAGATTGGGAAAACCAAACAAGGAGTTTGTGTAAGAGTAGAGTTTGGACACTGTAGTACAGTGTTGTTATTATTCCCTTGGGTTCCAGATAGAAACTACTGCTACAGCAACACATCTCCATTTCACTTTGTCACTGCAGTCCCCTTCACATAGACCCTCGACTGATCATAGACTCTCATCTCCTCCTCACACAATCTAATCCATGTAACCCTCACAACCACACACAATTCGTCGTTGCCTATTCGGCTTCCATTCGATGGCCAGCTTGGCGTGCGATGTTACCCAACGGTCTCCTCATTGTGTGTTCAATCCATCTCCATTTTCTTCTACACATTTTTGAATGATAGATCATTGATTAGTTTGTTCCAAGAGCTGCTCGTTGGAGATCCTTTCTGATCATCTGGTCCTCAGTATTTGGCTAAAGAAGGCGGCTGTTGCGAGAAATCTGCAGCTGGTTGTTAGAGATGATTTTCGTGACTCATGTGCCAAGTTTCAGACCCATCTAGGAGAAATAACTTAACGTTGGTGTGGAAAGTTCGAATTCTGTTGTTTATGCTGAGTGCAGGAGATTCATCGAAAGACACGTCGGTTGACTGATTTCCCGAAGACTTTCACCAGTCCAAGTCATTCCTCCTCCCTAATATCAGCGAAGCGTTTGATTTTTATGCTTTTTCTGTGTTTTGAAGATTTTATGGCGAGTGGATTGATTTTCCAGGATAAGGTCGCTGGCTGCACGCCCAAACTCCCCCCTTTTCCCGGGCTTAGGACCGGCTAGAAAACTAGTGAACTGGTAAACTAGATGAGGTTGTAGCAGAATATAATTCCAGTCACTAATACTGCGTCACTGTATGCCATGTGGAATATACTTGCTTAGACAGATTTATGTTTCATGGTGTTTTCAAGTGACCATTTTTCTAAACAAATCCACTTGGTTTCAATCTCCTTCGGAACATCGGTTCTTTCAAAGTTTCAGAAACCTCCGGAAGACGAGTACCAGTAGATACGAAATCCAGCTATAGGACATTCTGCTGATTGTTTCTAATCAAAGTGCTCAGTGTTAACTAGTCAATGTTAACTTTAACAATAGAAGTTTCAGATATTTTGTTATTCACAAGACTTCAGTTTCTTTCGGCAATATCTTTGAAGTAATCCTCCAGTACAAATATTATGTGAAGGAATTCGGAAACTGCATATTATGCAAAAACAGATGTGAAAACTGAAGTTAAATGTGGTTATACACATTTTGACCTGCAGGTGTTAACCACTAATATACTACTTTTCAAATCTTGCCCTCATTTTATAATAATGAATAAAAGTATTTTCATAATAATAATGATCTGCTTTATTCCAAAAACAGTACCTATAATACAGCATTTTGTCACAATATTGCATCTAATTTAATCATAATCTAAATAAAATTAAACACAGGAATTTGTCCCCATTTTTTCAGTAGGAATAAAGTCAAAAATGTGCAGAGGACAAAATGAGAATGATAACCGTAATAATAATAACAGTGGGTTTGCTTGAAACAGTATTGTCGATACAGTATGGAAATTTTAGCATGTTATACAGTTTTGAATTTTGATGTAGTTGTGTTCTCTGAGCTGGATGGTTTATTTGCAAAGATTTCATTGTCCTAATAGAAAACCTTGATATGATTATGGGCAATAAATTGTGCTCGAAAAGTCATCAGTAAATATTACTGTATAACACTGTGAGACTCTATCAAAATAAATTTTACCCATAATGGAATAAAACCAACATCATCTACAAAATAAGTTGCAAGGACTACGAAAAACACTACATTGGCCAAAGCGGATGTCCCCTTCGTCTTCGTATCCATGATCATAAACTAGCCGTCAAAAGATATGACATCCACTCCTTCATATCGCTGCATACAGACAACCACGGACATCATTTCGACTGGGACGACGTTCAGATATTAGACAAAGGAAACACCAATGATACTAGAGAATTTTTAGAAGCCTGGTATTCCAGTGAATAGTCAATCAATAGACACATTGACATAGACAAAATTTACCAGTCGATAAGAAGGAAATTTCACACATAAAGGGTCAAAGTTCAGGTCGGGGAAACGATACAATACAATACCAATATAAGAAGCCTGGAGGGTGTGCAAACACAAAATCACCCAACCACCCTCAAGGTCACAAGGACAGAGGACTATAAACTCGTGGAGAAACCTAAAAGCTCACTTCAAATTGAAGCAGTATGCACTGAAGATGTTTCCTAGTAGGGCAATGAAAGCTGAAAATTACCTTTAGCAATTTTGTTGCATGAAATCAAGTGTCTACCAATGACGATGTCAACGATATGGCCTAGTGGGATACCACACCCTACTGAAAGTCTTCAGAGTTCTACGAAATATGACATAGTCTTTTTTAAGCGACCAAAGAAAGAATAAGAGTGAACAATAAAGAAGAATCGGCAAGATGCAAGAGTTGGCAAACTGTAAGAGGAGAGCTTGAGTTATGCCTGAGCGCCTTAACTTCTCAATGTAAAATGTCAGACGAAATATTCTTTTAGAAATCGCTATGAAATAGGAAGA